TGAAAGATCTGAGTTTATTCGCAAGAATAGGATTTGTACAAACTGCCTCGGTTATCTTCATAACACTTTCAACTGCCCCTCAAGTAAAGTGTGTCAGATTTGCTCCAAACATCACCATACTCTATTGCATGAGCCCACACGTAGTTCACTTCAGTCACAGTCAAGCTATCAAACTAAGCTGTCTCCTCAAAATAAGACCTACACACCTAATTCATCTTCAAAGAATACAACAACTATTAATCCTACTGCTTCTACAAACGTTAACGCTTTTGTAGGATTGTCTAGTCAACTCAATCCAACTAAAACCACAATCCTTCTTGGTACATGTTTAGTTCATGTCTCTTCACAACATGGTCAACATACTGTACTCCGTGCTGTGCTCGACTCCGCTGCCCAACTTACCCTTATATCAGAGAAAGCTATTCAACTCATCAACGCCCCACGTACTCGACTCCATGATGAAATAAAAGGAATCTCTGGTGCAGTTATTAATTCTAGAGGTATCGTACATGTCAACATGTCTGCGATCAATGGAAATCCTTTGGCTAAAAACCATCCTTGTATGGTTTTGAGTAGTATCACATCACCCCTGCCTCAGATACCAGTTTCACACCAGGTTAAGGAATCTTTGAAACATTTTATCCTAGCCGATCCCTGTTTCGATCAGCCTGGAGAGATAGATTTACTTATCGGTGCAGACTTATTTGCCCTAACCCTCACAGGCGAACAGCATAGATTAGGACAAAATTTACCTCAAGCTCTTGGAACCATTTTTGGTTTTGTTGTGATGGGCCTCGCTCCTGTAGCCTCTGTAGCAGGAAACTCATCAAACACATTTCCCATCTCACTCTTGACAACTCATGATTTGGATCTTCATAATTCACTTTAAAAATTCTGGACGCTAGAAGAACCCCCAATACGGATCAAGGCTCAGACTGAGGAAGATACCCTCTGTTTACAACATTTTGAAAACACCCATAGACGTGATGACTCAGGTCGTTACATAATCGAGCTGCCCAAGAAACCAAATCATTCCCCTCTTGGTGAATCTTGTACCAAAGCACAATTGAGACTTAGCTCGATGGAAAGGAAATTCTCTAATCAACCCGAGTTACAAAGGCTCTATTCTGAATTTATGGATGACTACATTGAATCAGGTCATATGACTATTTGTAAAGAACCTCCTACCTCTGAATACTATTATTTGCCTCACCACGGTGTCTTCAAGGAGAATCCCCCGAATTCAAAAATACGTGTTGTTTTTGACGGCAGCGCTAAAACTACTAATGGCATATCATTGAACGACATTCTCATGCCTGGTCCCAAACTTCAAAATGATATCAGTGATGTTTTATTGTATTTTAGATGTCATAAAATTGTATTCACCTGTGACATACGTCAAATGTATCGTCAGATCTTGGTTTCTGATAAGGACAAAAGTTATCAAATGATATACTGGCGCGCTAGTCCAGATGATCCACTCCAAACGTACAAACTTAATACAGTTACATATGGGCTTAATTGTTCCCCTTTTATTGCAATCAAAACCTTGCACCAGCTAGTTTTGGACGAAGGTCAACCATACCCACAAGCTTCTGATATCTTGTCCAAGTCTATCTTCTATGATGATATTATAGCTGGAGCTGAAGATCTTGATAAAGCTATGTCAGCTCAAAATGAACTGAAAACATTGCTGTCTAAAGGCGGTTTTGAACTCCGTAAGTGGATCAGTAATGCACCCCAACTCTTGGATCAGATTCCAGTCGAACACAAAGAATCACCAGTGGAGTTGACTGATGGTAGTGAGGCCTTCTACAGTGTATTGGGTTTAAGATGGACCCCAGAGACAGACATGCTCTCATACAAAGTGAAGAATGTTGAAGTAGGCCACTTGCTAACCAAGAGAATGATTCTCTCAACAATCGCTAAACTCTATGATCTCCCAGGATTTCTCACACCTGTAATATTTTGGGCTAAAACACTCATTCAATATCTTTGGACCACAGGTCTAAAATGGGATGATCCAATTCAAGATGAGATAAGAACAAAATGGATTTCCTTTTTAGAAGAACTACCCGTGATCCAAAACCTAAGGATCCCACGTTACATCTTTACCTCAACTCATAAGCTTGCAGAACTTCATGGTTTCAGCGATGCTTCGGAGAAAGGATATGCTGCAGTAGTCTACCTCCGTGTGATCAACTTATCGAATGATGTTAAAATTAATCTGATAATGGCCAAATCTAAAGTCGCCCCACTAAAAAGAGTATCTCTGCCTCGTCTCGAACTGTGCGGTGCTCACCTACTTGGAAAGCTCCTGCAATACTGTTCAAATCTTCTTTCGTCCCACATTAAGATTGACTCGATGTATGCTTGGTGTGACTCTACCATTGTTCTTACATGGATACGCACTCACCCCTATCGCTTAAAAGTCTATGTGGCCAACCGTGTCTCAGAACTACAAGAATTAATCTCTCCTGAATCATGGCATTACGTCAAGTCCCTCGACAACCCAGCAGATTGTGCAACCCGAGGACTCTCCCCATCTCAACTCTTAAGCCACCAATTGTGGTGGAAGGGACCTGAATGGTTATACTTGTCATCAGATCTTTGGCCAAAGCCCGAATTCAGTTTAATCACTGATCAAGACACTCTTGAAGTCAAACCAAATCCCTTGAATGTCCTAGTTAACGTTGAAAAGTTAGAAAATTACAGATTTGATTTACTTGAAAAATTCTCATGCTTTAGAAAACTTGTAAATGTCACTGCTTATGTTCTACGATTCATCCATAATATTTGTGGGAACGCCCGACTAGCTGGACAACTTAGTTATAAAGAGATCTCTTCTGCTAAAATGAATCTCTTCAAACTCATTCAAATTTCATCTTTCAAGGATGACATCACAGCTCTGAAAAAGGGCACTCAGTGCAGCTTAAGACTGGCTCGGTTATCACCTTACATTGACGATAACGGTTTGGTAAGAGTAGGCGGTAGGTTGAAACATTCAAACCTTACTCAAGATGCCAAATACCCAATCCTGTTACCTAAATCTCATAATGTTGTAAAACTGTTGGTCATGCACTATCATCTCAAATATTTACACGCAGGCCCTCAGTTGCTGCAATCGATCCTCACTCAAGAAGTATGGATATTATCTGCTCGTAGTGTAATCAGATCTGTAATCTTTAAATGTCAAAGATGTTTTAAGTTGAAACCTACAAATCAACCTCCACTTATGGGAGACTTACCCGAAACTCGACTACGGCCTGTAAGACCATTCTATCATACTGGCATGGATTATAGCGGTCACTTTGAAGTGAAAGTACACACCACTAGGAATTCTCAAAAGCTTAAGTCATACCTCTGCCTATTTGTTTGCTTTACCACAAAAGCGGTGCACTTGGAAGTTGTAACTGATCTCTCAGTGGACTCATTCATTGCTGCTCTTAAAAGATTTGTTTCTCGTCGTGGACTTTGTGCTCACCTATACTCTGATTGTGGAACGAACTATGTCGGTGCCTCCAAGCAACTGAATAAGACCTTCCAGAATTTCATTGATGAAAGGAATACTCAAGATGCTCTCACTAACTTCGCCCTCGATCATTCAATTAATTTTCATTTCCAACCACCAGCCGCGCCTCACCAAGGAGGCCTTTGGGAGAGTGCCATAAAGAGCTCAAAGTACCATCTCAAGAGAGTAATTGGAGATCAAATTCTAACACTAATGGAGCTGATAACCCTTGTCACGCAGGTGGAAGCAGTATTGAACTCTCGTCCACTAACAGCTCTATCAGCAGATCCATCTGACATCACAGCACTCACCCCAGGTCATTTTCTCATCGGGACATCTCTTGTCGCAGTACCTGAAGTAAATGTATCCGATATTCCTGACAATCGACTAAAGCATTGGCAAACAGTTCAGGCTCTACATCAGCGCTTCTGGAGAAGGTGGCACCAAGAGTATTTGCACCAGCTTCAACAAAGGAAAAAGTGGATAAAGCCAAACAAGAATCTTGAAGTAGGCGATTTAGTCATTATCCATGACCCAAAAACACCACCACTTCTCTGGCCTCTTGGTCGCATTGTGAAGACATCACCTGGAGCAGATGGCATCGTTCGAGTTGTCTCCATCAAGACTTCGAGAGGAATCTTCTGTCGCCCTGCTACCAAGGTGTACCCGCTCCCCTAATCACAAAATATTTCTATTTAATGTCCTATTTCATGTTTATATTTATAATTGTCATATATATCATATCTTATAATTAGGTGTGTCATCATTATCTATTGTGTATATATATCTACATTGTATTACTTGTGCCCATTTATGAGTCAATGAATCAATTTATGAATCTCTGTTGAACCATGTATGGTTCAAGGCGGGCGGCATGTTCCGTGTTCAAGCATCTACGCAACCAGGTGAATCCAGACTTCATTCATATTTTGTTCTGACCCTTGCCCTGTCACGTGATGTCTGGCAATTTCCCCCATTCCCCATGTACTCTTCAACCCGGCATCATGTTCTCGCCATTTTCCCTAGTTTTTTTATTATAATATTCCCCTACTCTATTTGTGGCATATAAATTGAACTTATATATTATCGTATGTTTATCTTATGTATTTATTTGTGACACACCTAACAAAAAAGTGAACTGAATAGTTAAAAACTGTATTCAAACTGTTCTTGGTGCAACTACCGGTCGCGTACGCGAAAGCTGGCCAGCAAACATCAAGTGCGTCAACGGTCTACTAGACATCACTTCAGTAAAAAGGAAGGTACCAAATCACATTTCTTCCTATTTAAAAGTTTATTATTTTGTGCTCACAGTGTGTCTCTAAAGCTGATCTTAACATAATATATCTCACATCCCTCATTTTTTATACAGTCCACCATATCGAAGTTTACCCCCCATATTGTTAAGCACAAAATTCAGAAAAAAATTGTATTTGCAATCAAATTCAGCACATACAAGCTTGTGAATTAAAACTCCGAAATCACTTACGATATTCAGCCACCCATCAACTGTACTGGCCAGTTCTGTAGCTTCTGGTGTGTTGTCTCCATCATAGCAGAACTTAAAAAGTGAAACGACAGGGAACCCCTTTTGAATACTGGAACAAAAGCAAAATGATTTGCTTTAAACTGTACACAAAATGAAACTTTGTTTCTAACCTTACCGGTTGATTGCTAAGACATACCTACGGAGGGGAGACAAAATATAAAATGAAAATTTAGATACTTTTTGTATGGTGAATTCTTTGCAACATGGTTGAACAATCTAAGACACACAATCTAATCTTGTTTTTGTTCACCTAATTGAGGTCTCTTAGGAGAGTTCCTATTGCAGAACTTCATTTAGTACTCAATTATTCAATCATTCAATCATTCAATCATCCAAAATTCCATATTAGGCTACTTAAAATTCTGTAGACGATCGAGTGCGATAAAATCATGAGCTCTTTCCGTACAGACTACCGGTAGATGTTTACCATAGCGTGTTCCTTGAGACCACCTCTATTAATGCCTCTTTTTGAGGTGCTCCAGGCTTTAGGCATTTGCACTTGGTGTTGCTTTCTCATCATTTTAGCGGGCTGCATGCCCCACAGTTCATCAACTTATCATTGTGAGGGTTCCAATATGTCCTTAACGGTCTGAGTGGATGCACTGCTCGCCTTCAAAACTCAAAGTTGCTGGTTTTGGGCCAATCGAGTAATCTATCAAAAGGTCGACCTACACTATATAGGAAAGGGATTCGAGTAGACTATTCACTTACAAGAAACCAAAAAAATGGCAATAGTTGTAGGAACACAGAAAGTAAAATAAAAATACCTACACAACTCTCCTCTACCACTCACTTATTAGAGGTGGTATAAACAGAGTACTTACGGGTGAGGGAACTTACATTATATCGCTTAATATAGTGGTGTATTTACATTTTTTGTCATACATGATGATAGGTTAAGAACATTATATTTACTTAGTGATTTGAGTGGAAGACAAATTTAAACCTTTGAATAACGTAGGTTTGACAACAGAAAAACATGTTCAATTTAATGAGATTTGACATGTTTATAATGGTTTTTAAAATTATTTTTAGTTTTAATCAACATTTTTCTTATCTGACCTTTCCAAGCCGGTTTTGAGGTAAACATTTTTTTATATATTTTTTTCAAAATAGGAACAAAGTTTATTACAATGGGAATTTTACAGAGTACAATCAAAATTCAACAATTAATTTTTGCACAAAAAATGGAGTCCCAGCTCCATCTTCAAAATCCCTCGCTGAACGCCATTTCTTTCTAGTTCGTCTCAGACACCTACTGGTTGCCCTAAAAACTTCAAAAATTGTTCTTGGTCGTATCCATTTAATTACCAAACTGTATGGTTTTTTTTTCAATTTTTCTGTTAATTTTTTAGCCATAACCCTTAAAAACATTTGGTTAAAAAAAATAATTAAGACTCTACTATGTAAATAAAACATCTACAAACTAAAACAATGAAAGAATGAAGACAAGTTTGTCAAATGTAAGCATATCTTTAAACTAACTTAGTCATACCACTTAAGGTGTAGATTCTTTGTGAACCCAGCGCCAGGGAAATGCATCGTCTCTGTCATGACACCAGAGGTCATTGTATCAGCGGTTGCCTTTAACTCCAGAGGCTTCACTCCTAATGGCCTGCAAATATTAAGCCATAGAAGTTTGTTGCATAAGGGTTATAAATTTTATTTCAGTCGAACTCCAATTATTCAAACTCCAACTACCTGAATTGATTACAAAAATAATTAAAAAATTTTAAACCACAATGAATAGGATCATAAGAAGCCTTGATCGTGGAAAAATCCAAAACCTGTCTGGCGATTGTATTAAGGTACATCGTCTCCGGTGGTCATGGATACATCGTCATCGGTTTTTGCGATCGTGGCAAAGTGATAAATATATCCCACGGTCGTGTTGACACCATCATCGTCTCCCGTGGTCACGGTAACATCATCATCAATTTTCACAATCGCGGCAAAATGTTAAACATATCCCACAGTCGTGTGGACACCATCATTGTCTCCCACAGTCACAGAAAATCAAAACTGTACTCCGCAATCGTGACAAAAGCGTAAAATTTTTGATTGTGAAATCGTCGCAGACACGTTCTGCAATAGCGGTAAAAGCTTGGCATGACTTACCTATTTTCTTTAAAAGACTCTGAATTTTGGTAAAAATCCAAATATTCGAAAGGTCTGGTCCCAATTGATTCGTAAGATTGGAGTTCTACTGAATAAATAAATATTCAGAGATATGATGGATCCAGGCCAAGCTTTTGCTCTTGGATGGGTCTGATACGATTTACTTAAGTAACTCACTTAGAAAACATTTATAACAAAATTAAACTATGAAACCTGTTTTAATTTTTAATTACCTGGTACCGCCTCTTTTAGCGAATTTCCTTTATAGGGAATAACTAAGCTATTTTATTGTATAGATGAATCATGATGAAACATGATTGTGCAATATATTTGTAAAAATCTGCAACATACAAAATTGTATATGTTTTAATTGTAAATATTGTTTTACACGGAAGTGAGTTGGTTGTATTCTAATTCTTTGTTTTTTGCTCCGGCTCGTGTTTCAAGCTCTGATTTCATATCCCACCTTATTTATGGTCCAACTACGGCATGATCATTGGTCTTACATTTGGAAAATATAGGGTTCATACTGTGCAAACATTGTCTTCCACAGTGAACCTCAAAAATATTAGCTAATGAATTTCCATTCCAAACAAATTTATACCTGTCAGAAGGTTTGACAGTAATCTGTTATTTAAGAGTCCTAGGAGCCTAGCTGTGCTAGCTTATAAAACAGTTACAAAACTACAAATATTTCTAATCTCACAGTGCCCTAGATATTTAAATTATGATCACTTCATGGTATTTGATAAAAAAGTGTACCTATTTTGAGATGGTATATTACTCTTCAGTGCAGCTGTTTGAAATTTAATGCAAGATGGCAAGCTAGCCTCCAAGCACAATTTTTATTTCAGCAGCGGTTTTTCGATACGGACGAAATGAGAGCATTCTATTGGCTGTCATGGCGTGACCTCACTCTCTTCTAGGTTATGACAGTTTAATTTTATAATTGATATAGTTACAAAAAATATTGATTATTTAAATCCAACTGAGTCAACAAACAACAAAGATTGACATCTCAACCCTCAAGAGAAGAGAGTGACGTCACGCCATGGCAGCCAATAGAACGCTCTAATTTCGTCGTATCGAAAAACCGTAGCTGAAATAAAAATTGTGCAGCCTCCAAGGACTCCCAATAGTAATAGTATAATCAGTTTTGGTTTATATTACACAGAAACACAACGTGGTATAAGCAATATACTTACACAAAGACAGAATCCAATAAACCTGTTGTGTGAGGACAAACACAACATCTTACATGTGGAGAACGGATCTGACTGTCGTTGCGTTCGTAGTCATACAAACTAGATATGATTACTATCTTGCTAGCTTTTATACTCTCAAACCACTTGATCAAATCATCCAAAAAAACATCTTCCTTGTTCTGTAAACAGTATTACTGTTGTAAAATCTCTTATAAGAAAACACAAAGTTATTTATGATCACAAAACTATTGATGATGTGAAATTGGTGTGAAAGACTCAACACAACTACAGTAGATCTAGCCTGACTGCAATATATAAATATAAATATACTAACAGATATTATCATAGATAAAACATACTCCCTTAGTAGATTTGTCATCCTTATGGAACAGCTGAAGCCAATTTTATTGTTAGTTCTGTACGTCCAACTGTAGAGGTTGTATTTTGTTTACATTTTGTTTCTTGTTATTTCAGTCATTTAAAACCTCATTTAACCAAATAAAAAGATATAATCATAAACAATAACTGGTCTCCTCGTTCAGGGTGTCTACTACATTCTGGATAAAAAATTCATGGACAATTCCCGTACATTTAAGGACACTTTGCCGTAACCTTTGTCGGTGTCATTAGGCCTACCGAATAATTTTCCTGATTTGTCAAACTGTATTAATCTTGTTATTAACTGTAGTTGTAGCAGAGAGAACAGTAAATAACAATAGATAAGAGTTAAAAATTTCAAAATAGAAATTTATTGAAAGTAAACAAGTATAGGCCTACCTATACTTTAGGTAAAGCTTTTATAGTGTAACAGAGAAACGCAATCATTGTCTCCTGCGATAGCGACAAATATCTCCATCGGTTTGTAAACTTCATAACATAGCTTATCCGATCCAGGCGGATTAATTTGGCATGATTCGCCCTGGCACAACGTTAGGCTCTCGACTAGGCTACTTTTGAAAAAAAAAATCTTTAATTCATATTGTTACTCAGTTCTTAGTACAAAATCAAGGTATGGTAAGCGGCTACCAATAAGCAATAAGCACAGAGTAAGATTATTGTATTTTCATTTGCAAAGTTAATATAGACACATAGCAATCATTAGTTGTTTATCTAGGCTCAATTTCATTTTCTTAATATATTTTACAGCTCTTTCAAGAATCAAAATACCCAGGCCTAGACCTAATTATTTAGGAGGGCCTATATAAACTGGGTAACAAACAATGAGGTTATAATAGCAACAAAGTCACTATCATCATTCTAGTTCATAAGATTTAGATTGCTTAAAGCATACAACTCAATAAATAAATATATGGGAAACAAAAAACATTGAAACCCGAATAGCCAACAATATAAGACAAAGTTACAGAAAATGCAATGACATAATTTGAAACCAAGCAGGCCTACATAGTGATAAAACATTAATGCAAACAACATTGCTTGTGGTTTTGTCAATTAAAAGATCAAATATCCATAAAAAAGGGGTTAACTTACAAAATAAAACTGTAGATTATTTACATGTTTAATATGAAACCATAAACAGTTTTATGGCACTAGGCAATGGCCGCGGCAAATTGAATCTTCAAGCCAAAGTACAAGTAAGAAAAGAAATTTAACAGCCATTATAAAGCTATTATTTTCACGATAAATTAGGTTTGGGATCTCATAATAATTACCCTAGTAATAAAAAAAGAAGTTGTAAAGGAATAAAAGTGATACAACTTTTATGAGCTATAACTGAGTCAACAGTTCTTGGAAGTACTTGACACTTGATTGTCGTGATAAAATATTAATGGGTTTGAAATTGCTAATGGGATTTTTATTGCATAATAACTCTAGTAATAAATTATGAAAATGTAAACAAACATCTGATAAACCTTTTATGTGCTCCTAACCAACTAGCGATCAATAAAATTATGGCCCATTAAAAATTTAAGGACATAGTCTGGCATTTAAGGACAATTCCCGTACATTTCATGGCCAATAAAAAATTAAGTACAATTCCCGGTTTTCCCGGATTTCCCGGTTGGTAGACACCCTGTCGTTATACAACCAAATAGTAAAGCACAAATCATGAAAATAACCCTAAAATAATAGAAACAAAATTTTGTCTACCCCAGCGATCGGTGTGGACGTACATGAACTAGTCATAAAAAACTAGCTTCAAAATGTACAATGTGATGAGGAGTCTACTTGTGTTGCTTAGTCTATGATATTATACTCGAATTACAATATTGGTGTTCTTGGTGTTTTTTTTTCTGGTTATAATTTTACACTCCAAGCAAAATGTGTTTAATTTTTAGTGCTTAGCCATATGTAAGATTTTGTGGACACTGGTCTTAATCTTAGTACCGTAAGTAAAATCACAAGGTAACGTATCTCACTCCATTCAACACTTCATCCTTCACTCACATGCAAGTTATAATGTGCCCAGCTGTGTCCCCCTATCTATTAGTGTGGTATAATGAAGCAACTATGAAGCCTATAGAATATCGACACAGAAAATAAGCTGTCATACTAAATCATTCACCTTAAATGTACAAGTAGGCATTGTTAGTAAGGCATCAGGTTGAGTCAATATAAGTAATGGTAGACTACGGGTATTAGGTTTAAAAAAATATTTTTCCTAGATTGGAATTAAATATAGTTAGTACTAAAAAGATGGTATACTGTACTATGATTTGAGTAAAATAAGTTTGACTTAGAGACTTACCTCCCAAACTGGTGATCTGAACTGAGCAAAAATGACTTTGGGTTCCTTCAAGTAGTACACTGGAATAAAAAGGAATTGGACTTAATAAGTTATAATATAACTTAGTTATAAGTTATGATAAAATTTAATTTCAATATATTATATTAAAATGACATGTTATTTTAAAACAAATTCATTTGCATGTATAAGTTAGGTACCTTGACTTTGAATAAAACTAAACTGTCATCTAAAATGAAGGCTCAAATAAAATAGCCTACATAAAAATAATCTATCAGAATTTCTCTTTGAAAATATATGATTAACCTTAGAGTTTTTATAAAGCCTGTATAGCTCAACAGGAAAAGACTTGTCTTAAATGAGACTAACATAGTACTAATGTTACATTGGAAAATGTAGGCCAATCAATTTAACAGCAACCTGACATAATAGTATCAACTCAACTCTAGGCGAACTTAACTTACCTTCAAATTCTGTGCATAGTTCTGTAATATCCTCCTTATAGGGATGGCTTCCGATTAAGGGAATAAATGCTTGATGCCAAATGTTTCCCAGCTTTTGTGCTTTTGTTGACTGAATCAGTAAATCCACGGCTAGTTGTCCAGCATTAGAAACGGATATTGCTGGCTGTAAATATAAAAATAGTAGAGAAATAACCAATATTTTTACTAAAATATGGATTGTTTTTAGCGAATTTCCCATATAGGGAATATTAGCGAATTTCCCATATAGGGAATAAGCTATTACCGTAGTACTCATGGTAAGACCTGGACCCGGGACCGATTTTTTTTTTTCGTTTTGAGGTCCCTAGAGGCCAAAAACACCATCCGTTCAAATTCATATATATATATTTATACAGGGTGAATTTCTACTGACCGTGTTAACTTCGCTAGTGGGTTCTACTCACTAAAAGGAACAAAAAAGTTCCTATAAACCCATGTCCGATTTTCGACCGTTTGGCTGTTTTGGGGGATTTTGTGTTTTTCTTATTTTATTAGACTTTGCTCCACAATTTATGTAATAAAAACTTAACCAATTACTTTAGAGAGTTATAGTTAAAATCATTGGAAAGAACATTAAATTTGCTATAAATCAAAGGTTTCATTCAACAATTATACCATTACATAGTCCACGTTATAACCAAAATAAAGTAAAAATGTCATTAAATTAATTAATTACGATAATTTTCATGGGCCTCCTTTGATACATAAACCTGCATTTATGCAATGTTGAAATGCATAAAAAACTTGGCATTTTAATAATCTTTCAAATGATATGCTATTCAATACTATTATTGATATAAACCAGTGAGAAATTACTAATAAACTACAATAAAACACGGTTTACAGATTTTGTTTTTGCACAGTTTTACTGTTAATAATAATTACTGTATTCATCATGTTGGCATAATCTTGCTTGGTAAAAGGCTCCATATTTTAATAAATGTTGAAAAACTCTTAATTGACTTGGAAATATAAAGTTAAAACAGCAAATTACTCAACAATGTTATGTTCAAGCAGCTGAGTTATCTAGCTATAGATGACAAATCAATAAAAGCTGACTTAATCAAGCACAAGGTAAAACTAATTACACAGCATTTAAGAATCAAACACACTACATCTTTGAAAATGTGGAAAACCTTGAGTTTATACATTTTATTAATTCAGATAATTTTAATAAATATTTAAAAGTTAAAATAATGTACAAATTTTATCAGATAGTTCAATAAAATACATCATGGAGTATACAGTAATTATTATTAACAGTAAAACTGTGCAAAAACAAAATCTGTAAACCGTGTTTTATTGTAGTTTATTAGTAATTTCTCACTAGTTTATATCAATAATAGTATTGAATAGCATATCATTTGAAAGATTATTAAAATGCCAAGTTTTTTATGCATTTCAACATTGCATAAATGCAGGTTTATGTATCAAAGGAGGCCCATGAAAATTATCGTAATTAATTAATTTAATGACATTTTTACTTTATTTTGGTTATAACGTGGACTATGTAATGGTATAATTGTTGAATGAAACCTTTGATTTATAGCAAATTTAATGTTCTTTCCAATGATTTTAACTATAACTCTCTAAAGTAATTGGTTAAGTTTTTATTACATAAATTGTGGAGCAAAGTCTAATAAAATAAGAAAAACACAAAATCCCCCAAAACAGCCAAACGGTCGAAAATCGGACATGGGTTTATAGGAACTTTTTTGTTCCTTTTAGTGAGTAGAACCCACTGGCGAAATTAACACGGTCAGTAGAAACTCACCCTGTATATATATATATGTGTCCGTTAGCGCGATAACTCGAGCAAAAATGATCCGATTTTGATGAAATTTGGTACAAACGTGTAAACCTACGTTTATTCGAACGAGTTCGCGAACCAGCATGATCGGACCATGGGAACGGGGGTTTATGGGGGCTTTTATGGGGTAAAAATGGATTTTTCCCATTTTTGACCCAAAAAACATAAAATTTTGCAATTTCTCTCTAAACTATTTTGTAGAGCTTAAAAAAACAAATAATTTAGTATTTTGAAGCGTTATAATGCGCCTAATGGTTACGGAGAAAATTCCAAAAAATTGTAAATTTAAAATTCCCATGTTATTCTTATGGAGAATAAGTAAACTGTTGTAGTTTGCTTGTTTATTAACATATTTTGCCCAAATTTGGAAAATGTTTTTATTTCTTACCAAATATTAACATTTTACATAAAAAACACTTTTACCCTCCCTGTTGCAGCAAACCTAAGTATGTTTTAAACTGATTCTATTTAAATAGGGAATAAATGTGATATTTTTAAGGAGACAAGTGTAAATCCATTCAGGGAAATGGAAATTCGCTTAGTCTGCAGGTTTGCTGCGGTGGGGGTATTTAAGTTAATTAACTGCACTGTTACCTATATACAAAAATAATGCTAAAAGCTGAAAGCTGTTTTTAAGATTACAAGTACGTTATTGCAACCTAAGAGGCAAATATAGCGCTACGTTGTTCATTAGAAGTTAACTGTGTTGTTATCAAGCAGCAGAATGAAGGTCTGATGAAAGTTTAGAAGTGTAAGTTGCCATAAACATCAAGAAAAGAGCAATGACAAGATGTACTATGACGATTAATTTTCTTATTCATAAGCTTCCCGCTTCTCAGAAAAGACGAATCATGATTGCCTGGATTATGATAGCAAGATTTGAAAAGCTATTTAGACATGATGTAAGTTTTGGGCCTATCTTAAAAATTGCACAGGAAGAATTTGGAAAATTCATGCAGGGTGAATGGGATCTCATTACAGTAGGCCCAGGGCTTACAGCAAGATAAAACTTGATTTTCGCTATTCAGTAAGCTGGATTAAAATTAAGACACTGCCAGGGACCAGTCTTTCTATAAGCGGGATTATTATCCCGAAAAATTTGATTTATAGACCATGAGCGGGGTTAAAGCGGGATGCAGGATAAAACAGGATTTTACGCTTAAAGTTAACTGAACATCTGGTTTTAACTTGTATACTTAATTTTATAGAAAAGCTAAACGCAATTGATTATTATGAATGTAGCAAAATAACTTATAATGCAATGTTTAAAAAAAAGAGACCGTACGTCAAATAACTTATAGCCTACCGGTAACACTCTGAATTGAACAAAAAAGTCATGCAGGATAAAGGAGAATTTTTCATGAACTAAAAGCGGGATAAAACAGAAATTTTTTCGAACCAATAAGCGGGATCATTTTTGTGGTCGTGGATACACTGTTGGGTACAGCTCAGATGGAAATTGACGTCATGGATGGACTTATTACAAGCTGTACGATTTCTGATCAGATTTTTGCCACAGCCTACTTGATAAACTTCCTTCCCAAGTGTGTAGTAGCAACATTTTAAGTTCACTTATCTGTTGTCAAAAACAACCGAATGAAAATATCGGTCCATTTATTTGATTATTCGATATATAGATTATTTGGCTGCACTTTACTTTAGGTCCTACACTCATTCGAATGAAAATATCGATCGATATATCGATTGTTTCATTCGATATAGGTTTGGTTAGTTGGGTAAGGTTAACCTAACCTAACTAACCAAACGATATATCGAATGAAACAATCGAATAATCGATATTTTCATTCGAATGAGTGTAGGACCTAAAGTAAAGTGCAACCGATTATTTTATTCGGTATATAGTTTGGTTAGTTAGGTTAGTTTAACACCAAACAATATTATGAAATGAAATAAATTAATCGGAAAAAAATATTCATCGATATTTTCATTCGGTTGTTTTTGACCATAGATATGAAAGTCTACTCTTCACAAGTTGAGGAAAACTTTAAAAGAAGAGGCATCCCTACTAAAATGTGAATAATCCTTAGGGCCTAAAAAGGCCATAACAACACATACCTAGGCTACTTACCAGTATAACTGTAGAATTGGCGCATATACCTTCTATCTTACTTAAATCCACGGATTCCATTTCTATTTCTCTAAGTTTACCAATGTTTGTGATGTAGACCCTAATTTCAGTGATAGGCTATTTAGTTATAAAATTAGTATAGGCCAAAATGAATTCCATTTAGATAAAATAACAAGGAACAAAATTCATCAGGGTTGAGGATAATCTAACCTCACTCACACTCACACAAAAATTTCTTGTATAGTCTACAGATAGTGTAATATGTGACTCTGACTATTTTAATCATTCAAGTCATTAATCCTAGTCATTAGTCATTCAATTCAAAATATGGTATCTCTCTCTATCTCAAATTCATGAACATTACATACAACCTGCATAGCATAACATAACCTCGATCATTCTTCTACCTTATTCAAAATAAAAACCAAAACGTCATGTTTGTTTGTTGTTTGGTTTCCGTTTGCTTGCGTGCGGCATGTCATGTTGACTCATGTTTTATACTATACTCCTTTTATCTATGGTTTTACAGTCTCATGCTATTTTTGTTTTTACTTTTGCTTGCTATAAGCACTCTGCAGGTTTTTTTAAACATGCAGTTTCATAGTTCTTTGTTGATTTTGGTTAATAATTATCATTGACTAAGCAACTTGTGAACTGTAGTTAAAGGCGGCCGTAGATCTAAGAGAGTGTGTTTAACCTATGCTATAATTATTTTAAGATTTTGGTTAATATTCAGTTTACTATATGATTTTACGGTAAATAAGCTACCTCTATGTTGTGGAGGTTTTCCCGTTGTAGTAAAATTTAATGTACATAGTTAGTTATATAGTGGTAATTATTGAATATGACATGGAAGAGCCGCTTTTCCTATTAGTTGCACTATTCACGTGTCCAAGGAGGTTAAGGATTTGAAGTGCCAAACCAAATTCTGAAAGGAAACGCAAAAGTTGTGAGTGAAAGATAAAAATCTGAGAATCCAATTTACTGCCCCCTGACCTCGAAGCAACACATAGTGCACATAGTGAGTGAGATTTGTACACTATATTTATTCGGTATTTTGTTTCTTGATTATGGGGAAATGCTGCGTAGTTCCAACTAGCTGTTACCCACAAACTTCAGCCCCCTTGACTTCATAAGTATTGATGAAAAACTATTGATTGGTTAAATTAAGCTGAAATAAACAAAACAGAAAACACTAATACAAACAAATAAGTATAGCTGAGATATTAGGTATATGGAAAGTTGTGACTTGTAGTTTTCTCAAAAAGTTCATGGGTACTTTGGGATCTATATATGGATACAGCGTAGTAAGTGCTACTTTTGTCTATGGTGCTACTGCCCTATTCATTTATTTATTTGACGGACAAACCATTACAAACAGGATAATAATAAAATTTTTGTGATACAGCTATTGAGTTGATGAGTGATGACTAAATAACAACAAAAGTGCAAACAGTAATAACAATAATGAAGAGACATAGGCATTTTTGTGGGTGTGGAGACACTGACAAAATCAAGATCAATACATTATCTTACCTTTCACCATGGATAAAACATAGTCCGTTTTATCTATGCTTTCACCTTCTTGTACCATAACAAAGCATCTTTACAATTCTGATCCTCATTTTTATCTTATTTTGTGCTGCATTTAAGCTTATAATCCATCCCTTATTAAAAAATATTTTCATTTTCATTTTTATTTTCCACGGCAATGCCATTTACAAAATACAATCAGTTAAGATTATAACAATAATTTAATAATTATAATTTTAATATATTTAAAAAACATTATAGAACAACTAGAAAGCATTATGTTTAATCTATGCCAATATGCTTATCGCATTCTATCTACTGTACTTGTTCTTTTCTATGATTATTGATTTTGTTACGTAGGAACAGGAAACATAAACGTGTTCTGCCAAGAGAAACAAAGCAGAAAGCAGAGGCGTATAAAGACAAAAATCTGAAAAGTCAAACTCTTTCATTCTACACGTTTGTTGTCCGAGGAACGAGTTTGCCAAGAGGTAAGATGATTAATTAATTGAAATATAATAAGTCACATTCATAATTAAGGGTTCTTTTCGTCATAACATATAATTTATTGCTTTCGTAAGTAATTTAACTACAATTCTAGTGTTTATCTCGCACTTTTTACCCCTAATGTGTTTATAATTTAAAATGTATTTTAGGTTATGTTGTCTGCTATAGCATTAGCAATGTGACAATCTAGTCATCCTAACATTAACTTGAAAGATTTAGCTTGAACATTTAACTTTTGCATGTTACATCAGTTATTAACCACAGGCAGTTTGATAATACTATCTAGGCTATCCTAGATTATGTCAAATAGGCCTATGTAACAACTTGTACCTTGCTTGTTTTTGCACTAAGTTAGTAGGCTTGGTCTAAGTATCTTAGTTTTATCACAGAAAACGTACTACTATAACCCAGAATGCCAACCGCATGGTAAAAAGCATTAAGCGTTTTGAGAGAGCTTTGCCTGTCAATCCGTAGGCAGCGCCACCACCGTTGCCATGCAATAACATAGCAACGCTGGTGGCGCTGCCTACGGATTGACAGGCAAAGCTGTCTCAAAACGCTTAATGCTTTTTGTCATGCGGTTGGCATTCTGGGTTATAGTAGTACATTTTCTGTGGTTTTATCCATCTATGGGGTACAGTTTCAACTGGGCTAAGTATGCTAATATCGATTGAAACTATCGATTCGATTAGTAAACCTTCATGCGATTTTTTAACCATCAGCAAGTTTGGTTGGTTAGGTTAGGTTATGATAGTTTTATTTTATAATTGATATATTTAAAAATATCGATTATTAATCAATATTTTCAATTTGATAGTTTCAATCAATATTATCATAGCCCAGTTAAGAAACTGTACCCTCTGAAACAAAAGTTTCTAAAACAAAAGTTTACAAAAAATAGTGGACCGTTCTTTAATTTTGTTGAAAACATAAGTTAATCACCGAACTCAAGCCCACTCAAGGTCAGTCACCTAAGTCACGTCGTGGTTGATAGGTGCGGGGAAGTGTTTTGAATATCATAGAAGTACAGAAACATCAAGACACATTTGTTCTGAAACAAATTTTTCCTAACTTTACCGACATCTAGGCCTAGTGGAAAACAAAATTTCTGTCAAGGGCGGTTCCAGGGCTAATTTTCAGAGGGGGCCATTCTATTGAGGGTGTGGGGGGGTATTCTAATTCTAGGCCAGCATGGCCACAACTACCGGGGGGTCCGGGGAAAAATTATAGCCTACTTACAAAGTAACATTTTAAGCACTCTGACGAAGAAAAAGTTTAATCTCTTTTAATCTGAAAGGAGAGTTTAAGTGCAAAACTTCTCTTTTTAGTGATACAACTTTTTCTGCTCTTACCGGCCCTGTAATTTCACCTAGCCTATCTATTTTTAAATGTTTTGTTTCATAATGCCGACACGCATTGTATTCCTTCAACAATGATTGTTTCAGAAAATAATAAAGTTCCTGGCTTACTACATTTTTGAGGTTTTTAGTGGTGTTTAAAAACTACCATCAATCTTAATTTGCCTAAATGAACTATACAAAAATATGTTAAGGTTCAAACTAACTACACAGTAATAAGCACTGTATTTAAAAAAAATATATAAATTTGAAATCTTTATGTTTAACAAATAAGTGTATAGCAGAGCAGGTTGAGAGAATTTATGTTTGTGTAAAAGAGAGAGGTTCATATGACCCGCCGGCCTCAGAATCCCACCATTTCGAATGGTGGGCACGGCCTGTTTTTCCACCACTATGCGAGCCAGTATCCAGGGGAGTATTAAGCATCCTCCTTATTAAGTTATAATAGGGCCTATAGATGGTATCTGTACGACATTTTCAAGCCGGGCAGGTGCGCATGCGACACTGCGACGTTGTTGATGTATGCACTTGAACACACATGTCTTCTTGAGTGAATACTTGTAGAAATGTCAGTGTGGTAGTCAGGTAGACATCCTCTGTGATGGCGGTTGCTCTGTTTTGAGTCTAGACTAACCTAACTTAGAAAACAGCTAAAATGGCCCCCTCTCTGGAACCGTCACTGATTTCTGTTGTAAACACTAAAAAACTGTTTCCAACATCAAAATATATCCGTTCAAAAAGTAATGTTTCTTGGGTTTTTAGGGACATTTGTTGTAAAGATGTATTCCTATCTCCGGTATAAACGCGGCTCTAGGGATGACTATCGACAATCGATATTTTGGAAGTACATCAATGATTTTCTATCAATGTTCAATATTTTTTGTATCAATTGTTGGTTACCTACCAATATTTTTTGGGTAGCCTACTTTCGTATTATACGGAACGGAGGCCAATTATTTTACAGCGCAGTTAGGTTAGGTCGGGTTATCATAAATATGTTTGTAGGACTTTCCTCGTTTTGTTATGAATCAAATGATACCAGATGAGTCACAAAAAAATTATGATAACCTACCCGCCGCAGGCCATAACCTAACCCAACATCACCTATAAATCGTGAACATCCCTCGCGGCCGTGTAGACATCATTATCATTGCCTTTCACAGTCACCTAAACGTGATCGTCTTGCGCTATCGCGGCAAAATCATGAAAATTCCCTACTTTGATATCAAAATAAAGACTAAATCCCGACTTTTCAAGACCATTTTGAAATTCAATACTAATTCCCGGCTTTCCCGTTTTTCCGGACTACTAGGCACAAATTGTTAAATTAGCCCTAAAATATAATAGAAACAAAATTTCATTGACAACAGCGATCATTGTCACCGGACATGAACTAGAAACGAAGAATGGGCTTCAAAATTTATAATGGGATGAGAAGTCTACCTACTTAAGTTGGTTAGTCAATGGTAGTACAGTAGACTCCCTCTTATCCGGACACCTCTTAACCGGACTACTCTCTGCGGAAATGACATCTCTTTAACAGGACAATTTTTATCAGCACATCGGATTAACCGGACTAGATTGGCAGGAAGTAGGCGGTATTTAACAAACTACCAACTAATATTCAAAACCTAAAATTAAAAGAATAAAAAAAAATTAAAACAAATATTTACTGAAAATCCAATCTACCCTATTGAAGACTTCGATGGAAAATGCATCAACATTTAAAGAGTTTTATTTAATAGCCTACTCAACCTAATTGTACTGTCGATACAATTTATATTGCCTAGACAAAGTATTTATTTATTGAAACGACTGTTCTCCTGGGAAAGATTTGAGACCAACAATCACGTGTGTACATACAATGCTCTCCTAAATTTAGGTAAGTCAAATATATATATAGTATGCATTTTAAAGGTCCGTTTTAACGAGTTTTTGGGGACGTCGGTTTAGCCGGAAAAACGGTTTTCCAGACTGGCCTCGGTCCGAGGAGTCCAGATAAGAGAGAGTCTACTGTACACAATTTAGTACACACAATTTGTAATTTACTACAAGAGTTAAAATAATTAGAGCAATAAGAAAAGAAAATATAAAACTAAATGAATAAGAGGAGAGAAAAAAACTAACAAATAAACAGATGCTATGAGAATGACGATACGTGTGAAGAAGCAATGCACATGGAAAAGGAGTGGTTCGCAATTTAAAATTGTATTGTTGGTATGGGGACTGTCCCATTGACTCTCTCTCTCTGTCACATCAGCTGGCCTATCTTTATTGAATACTTAAAAACTCAATTATTGCAATTTAGGCTATTCATTGTAATAGAAATGAAAGTAATTAGGGCCTACCTTAATAGAACAAGGCTTTAATTTACTAAAGATTGGCACTACTTTGAACATGTTATGAATTGTGTACAAACAGTCATTTAACAAAAACATAAATAACATATGATTTAACAATTTAAACATAAAGTAAAGAAGGAAAGGCACAGTATTAAATATTACAACATTCTTCCCTCCTTAGGAATGAAAGTAGTCCTTCAAATAGACAGGAAGCTTCCGAGGTCTATTGCTTCTTCTAATGGGCTCGTTGTTATTTTTTAAACTATTGTCTCTACTATTGGATTCGGGTAGTTGGACAGTAGGGCCAGAATCTAGTGAAATAGGAGCATCAGTAGTAGTTTCGTCAATCTTGTCCACATCTTGTAGACCTTCATTTTCAATGTCTTTCTCATGAGCTTCACTCACCTCGCCGAAAGGAGCTAAATGGCATGTTGACACAGTAGTTTCTCTTCCATCTGGATATCTGATATGGGCGTATTCGGGATTTCCTTCTAAGAGTGTCACTTCTTCTACTAAAGGGTCAAATTTTGAAGACCGGTTGAATTTACGTAGAAGAACGGTGCCTGGTGTTAAAAGCCAAGATGGAGTTGATAGGCCATTAGCAGAACGTCTTGAAAAACTAAACATTCTTTCGTGAGGGGTGGTATTTGTAGCCGTACACAACAGTGAACGAATAGAGTGTAGAGCATTCGTTAAGACTTCTTCCCATCGAGTAATGGGTAAACCAAGATCTTTGAGAGCTAGTTGAACAGTTTTCCAAATAGTACCATTATAGCGTTCAACTTGTCCATTTCCTCTAGGATTGTATGGGGTCGTCCTGCTGGTTGCAATGCCCAAGGTCATGAGCCACGTTTTCAATTCTTGTGACATGAATCCTGAGCCTCTATCAGAATGAATGAACGATGGAGCACCGAAAACACCAAATAGTTGTTGAAGACATGAAATAACTGAAGATGATGAAGTATCACGACAAGGAAAAACAAACGGGAAACGTGAATACTCATCTATCACAGTCAGCATATACTTATTTTGAGAACGAGATGGAAGTGGTCCCTTAAAATCAATATTAAGCCGCTCAAAAGGGGCTGAGGCTTTGATGAGAGTGCCATGGTGTTTATGGAAGTTTGGCTTTACTTCAGCACAGGTACGACATGCAGATGTTATTCGACGCACGTCTTCTACGGAGTAAGGAAGATTCTTGGTACGTATCCAGTGGCTAAGTCTTGAAACTCCAGGGTGACATAGTAACTTATGGAGAGAGATAAGTTTTGCATCAGTGGAAGTTACAGTAGAAGATACAGAACTGACTCTAGATAGAGCATCAGCTGCATGATTGTCTTTTCCCGGACGATACACTATGTCATATGAATAGCACGATAAATCTAGTCTCCACCTTGTAATCTTCTCATTCTTGATCTTGCTCCCATGTTTTAAATCAAACATGAATGCAACAGATCGTTGATCAGTGATGAGTCGAAAGTGTCTGCCTAACAAGAAGTGTTTCCAATGTCTCACAGCCTCAACTATGGCATAAGCCTCCTTTTCGACAGAGGAATGGCGTTTCTCTGAGTCTGACAGAGTTCGGGAGAAGAATGCTACCGGTCGATTTTGTTGACTAAGAGTGGCGGCTATTGTAGTATCTGAGGCATCTGTCTCCACGCAAAATGGAACTTCATTATCAATACAGTCCAGAGACGCTTTCTCTATATCATGTTTGAGATTCTGGAACGATGAAAGTGCTTCTTCAGATAACGGAAAAGAACCTGGTTTTAGGAGCTTAATCTTTTCGGAAAAGCAGGGTATGAACTTGGAGTAGTGAGAGAACATGCCTAAGGCTCTCTTTAAAGAAGCAGTATCAGTGGGTGGGGGAAACTCTAAAAGTGACTGAAATCTCTTCGGATCAGGTCTAATAACAGCATCACTGATGGAGTGACCTAGTAGGGTGATATTGCGTAGAGAAAATGAGCTTTTCTCATGGTTCATAGTTAAGTTGTATTTAGAAGCTGTTTGCATAAAATTTTTTAGGTTTTCATCATGTTCAGTTTGAGTGCGACCACAAATTGTTATGTCGTCTAGGTAAGCAAATGTATCTTTCAATTTTTCTTTTCTTATAATGTGATCCAAGGTTCTTTGAAAAGCAGCAACACCGTTAGTTGTACCAAAAGGGATTCTGGTAAACTGGTAGAGTTCCCCAGCAGCCTCAAAAGCAGTGTATAGTCGGTATTTTGCAGGAATAGGGACTTGATGATAGGCACTTCTCAAATCTATCGTACTAAAGACTTTGTAACGAGCAACTTTAGAGATTATTTCATTAATGGAAGGGATTGGGTAGGCATCCAATTCTGTGAAGCGGTTTATTGTTCTAGAATAATCTATGACCATCCTTTTCTTGTGATTTTGTGAAGAAGTAACGAGCACTTGGGCACGCCATGGTGAATTGCTCTTTTCAATGATTCCATCATTTAACAGCTTATTCACTTCTGCTTCAATGAACTGAGAATCGTTGAGTGAATGGTGAATGGATTTGATAGCTATAGGTTTACAATCAGAAGTCAGGTTGGTAAATAGATTAGCAGGTTCAACATTTGCAGCAGTAAGAGCGCTTACAACTAGAGGACCCTTATCCCCTCCAAACTCAAAGTGAACTGATGAATGAAGTTGCAGTAAATCTCGTCCTACAATTATCTCTGAGCAGAGGTTAGACATGACAGAAAGTTTGGTATGGGGGTATTTATGACCAAGCATCTCAAGAGTTACGTTGCAATTGCCAGTGATTTTTACTTTATGATTATTGGATGCTAATCCCACCTCTTCATTCATCTTGTGAATTTTCAAATTTAGCTGACGAGCTACTTTGTGACCAATCAAGCTTGAGTCACTTCCAGAATCAAGCATACCGTTAACCTTGAAACCGTTAATAGTGACAATGGTTTTAACTTTGGACTGGTGTGAGATAGAACAAGAAATTTCACACACAGAATTTTGAATAGCAGAAGTAGTTTTCTTTGATTGTGACCGGCAAACTTTCTGAAAATGGCCTGTCTTTCCACAACTATTACAAGTTTGGTCCTTTGCTGGACAGTTTATGCGAGGATGTCTAAATCCACCACAAAAGTAGCATTTGGAACGCACAGCTCCTACAGCAGGGTCTTGACTAACACTAGTGGTTTTATCAGTACCGGTAGCAGAGTCCTTAGTCAATAAGTCATTTGAAACAGCATTTATTGTTGGACAAGGAGTGTCATACTGCAAGGAATGTAGTTGAGCCATCTCCAAAGCACGAGCTTGAGCATGAGCATCCGTCAAAGTCAAATTTTCATTTTCGAGTAGGCGTTGTCGTATAACAGGACTTAGAAGACCTCTAATAAATGAATCACGAATACAGTCATCACGATTGCTTTCCGCTGTAACTGCTTTGAATTGGCAGTTGCGACTAAGTAGTCTTAATGATTCTAAATACCGGTCAACAGTCTCATTTGTTTCTTGACGGCGAGTAAAGAGTTTATGTCTAGCAAAAACCTCGTTTACAGGTTTAACAAATACATTTTTGAGGACCGTTAGAGCTTCATTGTAAGAATGGCATTGACTTGCGTATTCATATATGGTAGGTGATATGTAATTGATTAGAAAACGAAATTTCTCTTCCTCATTAGCATTTGTACTTCTAATAAAATTTTGGAATCTGTGTTGCCAGTGATTCCAAACTGTAGATGAATTGTTTGATTCTGGTTCCAACTCTAGTACATTTGGACATAGAAGACGATCCATTCTTCTCAGTTTTAGTAAATTAAACTGTAATAGAAATGAAAGTAATTACCTGAATAAGAACAAGGCTTTAATTTACTAAAGATTGACACTACTTTGAACATGTTATGAATTGTGTACAAACAGTTATTTAACAAAAATATAAATAACATATGATTTAACAATTTAAACATAAAGTAAAGAAGGAAAGGCACAGTATTAAATATTACAACATTCATAATATTAACAACAAGGCTTACAAGCTATACGTTCTTTAATTTTAGTTTTCTCCAGGGCATTCACCATTTTACAGTAATTTACAAAAGATAGAGAGCAATAAATTAATTTACAATGCGATAACAAACACTAACAAGATCTAAGCAAACAGAAACAGTGAGTTTTTCCATTCTAGCACAGAAAACATACTACTATAACCCAGAATGCCAACCGCATGGTGCATAGCAACGCTGCTGGCGCTGCCTACGAATTGACAGGCAAAGCTCTCTCAAAGTACTTAACGTTTTTTACCATGCGGTTGGCATTCTGGGTTATAGTAGTATGTTTTCTGTGATTCTAGGCAGCAACAATATATAGTAAAGCAATAATAGGACAAAATTAAACATGGGGAGAAATTGCAAGTTTTGACTAGAAATACTTAAGTTACAAGGAAACAGATATTGCACGATCAAACAATGTCTTATAATTTATAATATGATCAATTTAACAAAGAAAACCATTACATGCAGAAAAGAAACAGATATATAAGCAGATGAAAGCAGTTTTATAAGCATTAATATGGTCATCATTGACTAATATTTAGTCTTATTTCCAGTATATTTCAAAATGGAGGTTGCATTTTTGGCCCAAGAAAAAGTTTGGTTTGATAAGTACAAGTATGAAGATGCAGAAAAAGTTTACTTTGAAAATCTCTCAAAGGTAAGCAAATTGCAAAGCTTGTTTAAGTTACAAAAGTTGTCTTGGGGTCCCATTATTAAGTAGTCTTGATTTTACTGCTTGGTATACAGATCACATAAGTTGGAGGTGTTTGTTGAAGGACAGGGTTTATTGTGTTGGGTTGGATTGTAAGGGGTTTTAGTACGGTGCAATTAGACCTAAACCGGGACATCCAAAAAAAAAAGTTTCAAACCAGCGCCAAATTGTTGAATAGACTTCCCTCAATGTGTAAAAAAAAGTTACACTGATTTGAGTGTCGGGTTTGGGGGGGAGGGGGTAAAAATGGGGTTAAAATAGGACTTTTTTACTTTTTCACAAATACCTCAAAAACGGTGCGTTTTTCTTCAAATACAATGAATTACAAATATAATCTACATTAAATTTCGAACAAAATGATACCATACAATACCTATCTACTATGAACTGTTCAGGAGATATTGGGGGGTAAATGTGATTTTTCCTTAAAATTCTAAAAAAAATTGGTTTTTAAATAGTGAAAAACCATGGACACCCATAGAAAAAGTTTCTAATGAGTGCCAAATTGTTCAATAGACCTCTCTTAATATGTGTAAAAAAGTTACACTGATTTGAGTGTCGGGTTTGGGGGGGAGGGGGTAAAAATGGGGTTAAAATAGGACTTTTTTTACTTTTTCACAAATACCTCAAAAACGGTGCGTTTTTCTTCAAATACAATGAATTACAAATATAATCTACATTAAATTTCGAACAAAATGATACCATACAATACCTATCTACTATGAACTGTTCAGGAGATATTGGGGGGTAAATGTGATTTTTCCTTAAAATTCTAAAAAAAAATTGGTTTTTAAATAGTGAAAAACCATGGACACCCATAGAAAAAGTTTCTAATGAGTGCCAAATTGTTCAATAGACCTCTCTAAATATGTGTAAAAAAGTTACACTGATTTGAGTGTCGGATTTGGAAATTAGGGTTTAAAGAAAATGGGGTGAAAATAGGACTTTTTTTACTTTTTCGCAAATATCTCAAAAACGGTGCTTTTTTCTTAAAATACAATGAATTACAAAAATAATTTACAGTAAATTTCGAACAAATTGATACCATACAATACCTATCTACTATGATCTGTTCAGGAGATATAGAGGGGTAAATGTAATTTTTACTGATGCAATAAAAAATTGGCTTTTTTAAATGGAGGAAACCCATGGACACCCATAAAAAAGTTTGTAATTGGTGCCAAATCGCTAGGTAAACCTGCCTTAACATGTGTAAAAAAGTTACACTGATTTTCCTGCCGGTTGTGGGTAGGAGGGTGTGAAAACGGTGTAGGGAATTTTATTCATAAGTAATTTTGTAAATTTTTTAAGTAACGCTTTTTATTTTCCTTTTTAACACATATATATAGCGACAATTTAACTAATGACTTACCTACCTGAAACAACAAATCTACCTAGATACGTGAACACAGTGAACTTTCTACCGTTTGAATTCATAAGTGTGTTTTATCATTGATTATTTATTAAGTAAAAATATCCGTGTTACAATAGTTATTTTCCTACAGTCACCCGACAAAGTGGGCTTCCTTGCACATATTATATTTAGCAGATTATAGTACAGAAAGCTGCTAATTGTTGCATATACTTACTTTTGTCGCAGTTTTTCTTTGTCGCACACCAGTATTCCAACCAAACAACACAAAACAACGTGCTTTTATTATGCACGTAATCCGTGTACGCTTGGAAATAGGCTAGCAACACCTATGACAAATTTGTAAAATTTTGTGTTTTTAGGGTCAAAAATGGGAAAAACCTATCTTTACCCCATAAAACCCCCCATACACCCCTGTTCCCATAGTCCTATCATGCTGGTTCGCGAACTCGTTCGAATAAATGTAGGTTTACACGTCTGTACCAAATTTAATCAAAATCGGATCATTTTTGAGTTTTAAAAATAAAAATAATTTCAGGGTACTGAGTTAGTATGCTTTCTTTATTATTTATAATAGTAGCCCTTTATCGAAACAATTGTATATATATATATATATATATATATATGAATTTGAACGGATGGTGTTTTTTGCCTCTAGGGACCTCAAAACGAAAAAATAAATCGGTCCCGGGTCCAGGTCTTACCATGAGTACTACGGTAATAGCTTATTCCCTATATGGGAAATTCGCAAAAAACAACTTTTTTGAATTGAAAGAAAAAATCACATTTACCCTTTAATATCTCCTTACCCGTTAATGGTAGATAGGTATTGTAAGGTATCATCTTGTTCTAAATTTAATGTAGATTATTTTTGTAGTTCATTATATTTTAAGAAAAAGGCACCGTTTTCGAGATATTTGTAAAATAGTAAAGAACGCCCCATTCCCCTCCCATTTCTCATAAACCCTTCTTCCCAAATCCGACACTCAAATCAGTGTAACTTTTTTACACATATTAAGGGAGGTCTATTGAACAATTTGGCACTAATTAGAAACTTTTTCTATGGGTTGTCCGTGGTTTTTCACCATTTAAAAAACAATTTTTTTATTTTAAGAAAAAATCACATTTACCCCCAATATTTCCTGAACCGTTCATAGTAGATAGGTATGTATGGTATCATTTTGTTCGAAATTTAATGTAGATTATTTTTGTAATTCATTGTATTTTAAGAAAAACGCACCGTTTTTGAGGTATTTGCGAAAAAGTAAAAAAAAGTCCTATTTTCACCCCATTTTCCACCCCTCCCCCCCCAAACCCGACACTCAAATCAGTGTAACTTTTTTTTACATATTTAAGGAAGTGTATTCAACAATTTGGCACTCATTAGAAACTTTTTCTATGGGTGTCCATGGTTTTTCACCATTTAAAAACCAATTTTTTTAGAATTTTAAGGAAAATCACATTTATCCCCCAATATCTTCTGAACCGTTCATAGTAGATAGGTATTGTATGGTATCATTTTGTTCGAAATTTAATGTAGGTTATTTTTGTCATTCATTGTATTTTAAGAAAAACGCACCGTTTTTGAGGTATTTGCGAAAAAGTAAAAAAAGTCCTATTTTCACCCCATTTTCACCCCCTCCCCCCCAAACCCGACACTCAAATCAGTGTAATTTTTTTTTACATATTTAAGGAAGTTTATTCAACAATTTGGCACTCATTAGAAACTTTTTCTATGGGTGTCCATGGTTTTTCACCATTTAAAAACCAATTTTTTTAGAATTTTAAGGAAAATCACATTTATTTCCCAATATCTTCTGAACCGTTCATAGTAGATAGGTATTGTATGGTATCATTTTGTTCGAAATTTAATGTAGGTTATTTTTGTAATTTATTGTATTTTAAGAAAAACGCACCGTTTTTGAGGTTTTTGCGAAAAAGTAAGAAAAGTCCTATTTTCACCCCCTCCCCCCCAAACCCGACACTCAAATCAGTGTAATTTTTTTTTACATATTTAAGGAAGTTTATTCAACAATTTGGCACTCATTAGAAACTTTTTCTATGGGTGTCCATGGTTTTTCACCATTTAAAAACCAATTTTTTTAGAATTTTAAGGAAAAATCACATTTATCCCCCAATATCTTCTGAACCGTTCATAGTAGATAGGTATTGTATGGTATCATTTTGTTCGAAATTTAATGTAGGTTATTTTTGTAATTCATTGTATTTTAAGAAAAACGCACCGTTTTTGAGGTTTTTGCGAAAAAGTAAAAAAAGTCCTATTTTCACCCCATTTTCACCCCCTCCCCCCCAAACCCGACACTCAAATCAGTGTAATATTATTTTACATATTTAAGGAAGTTTATTCAACAATTTGGCACTCATTAGAAACTTTTTCTATGGGTGTCCATGGTTTTTCACCATTTAAAAACCAATTTTTTTTAGAATTTTAAGGAAAAATCACATTTATCCCCCAATATCTTCTGAACCGTTCATTGTAGATAGGTATTGTATGGTATCATTTTGTTCGAAATTTAATGTAGGTTATTTTTGTAATTCATTGTATTTTAAGACAAACGCAGCGTTTTTGAGGTATTTGCGAATAAGTAAAAAAAGTCCTATTTTCACCCCATTTTCTTTAAACCCTACTTCCCAAATCCAACATTTAAATCAGTGTAACTTTTTTACACATATTAAGGGAGGTCTATTGAACAATTTGGCACTCATTAGAAACTTTTTCTATGGGTGTCCATGGTTTTTCACTATTTAAAAACCAATTTTTTTTAGAATTTTAAGGAAAAATCACATTTACCCCCCAATATCTCCTGAGCCGTTCATAGTAGATAGGTATTGTATGGTATCATTTTGTTCGAAATTTAATGTAGATTATTTTTGTATTTCATTGTATTTGAAGAAAAACGCACCGTTTTTGAGGTATTTGTGAAAAAGTAAAAAAAGTCCTATTTTAACCCCATTTTTACCCCCTCCCCCCCAAACCCGACACTCAAATCAGTGTAACTTTTTTTTACACATTGAGGGAAGTCTATTCAACAATTTGGCCCTGGTTTGAAACTTTTTTTTGGATGTCCCGGTTTGCTCTTTTTATAAGCTAATTGCACTGTACTATTTTGTTAGTTTAAAAAAGTGGTCATATTGTAATTTTAATGATCTCCTTTTTCATTCCTCAGAATAATTGCCTGAGTTTGTTCACATCTGAAAAGGTACACATATGTATATGATGTGAAGTTTAGCTATAAATATACAATTACAGTTTGCTAAGAATTCAAATTTGTTTAAAGGTTTTAATTTATAAAAAAAAACTTAGTTGTGGGAATCTTGGTTCAAGTATAACTTGAAAATAGAAGATAACATTTTAAATGTGTCAGCAGAGAATTATACTTAAGTGTTAGCTGATAGAAAGTAGTATCATGAAATAACACTAAAAACTATGATGAAATCACTCATATAAGCCAAATTTAGCTGAGATATGCTGTTAACCTAAATCTGAACCAAAAAATTAGGCTTAGGCCTACCTCTAGTTTGGAACCTTTGTACTTGTTATTTGGTGTTATTATTCTATACATTTCTCACAACTGATGCACCTACGCCTTCAACTTCCATTCTAAATAGGTGTCCCAAAAATGCTTGTTTAAACAAAGTAAAAACTTGAAGATATTTTTTTTTACTGGTTGTATGCCTATCGTAATACTTGTCCATTACTGTGAAAATTTCTGATATTTTGGATATATTTTGCAAGCTGCTTGCATTGGATGGACGTTCAAACAAAAGTACCGATACCCCCAAAGTCAATGTCCCTCCTTCCCCTGCCCCTCCAGTTGTCCCTAGCCATGAACCTATTACCATTATTACCGCTCCTGAACCTCGAGTAGAGGACAAACGGTTCAAAGCGAAGAACCGTAACCGAAACAAAAAGGATGCTGAAAAGAAAATCGAAAAACCTGTTAAACAGGAAGTAAAGGTGAGATTGTCAGAATGAGTGTTTGGCTCAGCTGTTGTGGCGTTATTTTTCAGCCTTTGAAAATAAGATTAATTTCCTGTAAATAATACCGCCAGACACCATAACTAGTAGAGTGTGAAAAGTGTTTTTCTTATCCCATTTGTGAAGCATGTTGGTGTTGCTCTACTTCTGTGTCAGTTAATTACAAATTTATTTATATCTTTAATCTACCGTAAATCTTTTGAGGAAAATAATTATAGAGGAAACTATTGTTTTAATTTAGAAATCAGTTTAGCTTTTATTATTGCTTATTTTTATGTATTACAACTACAGACTTCTTTTGTAATGTTTTTGTAAGGGTATAATTCAATCCTTGACCTGCAATGATGTTAGAAAGTATACCCAGTTCACTTTCCTTTCATAGCCTGATGGAGAATTGTTCAGGATTGAACCAGCAACAATCAGTTTTAAAATAAAGATTTTTAACTTCTCACAATTCTACTAAGTTACATTTTTCTTGGCAGGATACATTTGTAATTTTCGGGTAATTTTGTCCAGGTATACTAAACTGAAGAGTGAGTGTCATGGTCAGGCATTTTTATTTTTCTGTGATCATAGTTGGTATTTTTCTGTAATAAAGGTTGGCAGCCTTGAACCTTCAATTAGCTTTTTCACATGTGCTTCAAGCCTGTCTGAGGAATGTAGCACAAAAATACGGAGCGAGTCTTGTGAAGTGAAAGAATGAACAGCAATACTTTTCATTTGCAGCTTGGTGACAAGAACCCACAACAAATTTGCTGTCTGTCAGTTACCCACTCACTCAACAATTATCTATGCGGTAAAAACTGCCAATGTAGGATGTGATTTTTATTTCATAATTTTTTACTTTGATATTTTAGTTTTGTGTTGTTAGAGTTTTTTTTATCACTTGTTAAAGGCGGTCCAAACAGATAAAGGTTTACTTTTAATCTATCAAGATCTTTATGATAAGCTCTCATATTTTGATCACAAAATAAACTAAGCACTTGTGCATGATTAGCCTGCATGTGTAGTTAGTTGAGAATGACGGACTCTAATGCTTTCTGCACGCTGTTCTTTTTACAATGGATAACATGTTTGTTCTTTGGTGTTAGGTTTCTTCTAACAATCCTATAATGAAAAACTCTTTGGCAGAGGAAGTAGCAAGGGCGAGGCAACATATAAAAAGCTCTCTTGAGTGTGTGAGTAACCTCTGAACATATTGTCTATTGAACATCTAGTCACGTAGTCAACAATGTATTGAATGGTGCAGTTTGTTTTTGTCAAAATATACTTTGAATAGTTTTATACTGTGTATATTTTCAAAGGGGATTTTTGAAACATGTTTGAAGTTAATCCATTTCAATTCCTAATGAAGTTTCATTACTTTACTTCATTTCATTACTATCGTATAGAGAGCATTTTAAGGCCATAAGTTGATAAAAAGATATTCGTTTATACTAAAGCATGTATTGTTTTGGCTAAACAAGATTCAAAGGTTTGTATTTGTATTCACATTTAATTATTCAAAAGCTGTTATTATTGATTGACACATAATTAATGTATTAACCTAACTGTAGTTTTAAATATTTACAATTTGTTTAACGTAGTTCAGTAGAATTACAAATATGTAAGTCTTATTTATCTTACTTATTTGAAGCAAGTTTTGTTTAACTTATGAGATGCAAGTGGAATAAGTAAAACAAAGAACCAAATATTCCAGCAGTCATGGTTATTAAATTACAACAGGAATTTGATAGTAACAAGTGACATTACGAAATGAACTAGGTGGTAAGAGAAAATTTGTAAAATACGTGAGAGAAATTTCAATAACAGTTTACTGTTCCTAGTTTATTTTCTTATTACAACTTTTCCCTCTGAAAACTTAATAAACCTTTTCCTTCGTGAAGCGTAGAACTAATTTTGTCATCTGTACGTTCCATATCTGTTGAGAAAAATTAAGGCCATCTTCATGTTGTTCTTAGGCCCTTTTCTTTGAGAAGAAATTGGGTTTTCTGTGTCGGCCGAGATCCAGCCCTGCTGTTTGATTCTCTCGATACTTTGTTGAGAAGTCATTAGGCTAACAAAGTTCATTTTTTCTGTCTAGACTTCTTTATCACTTCTCACACAGGGATAAAACGTCATGGTTATTAAAAGATAGAATATTGTTTAAGTAGTCATTTTGGGCAATAATAATCACAAAATATAACTTCACTCGTTCATTGATGGATATTAATAAGCTACTATGGCAATAGAGTACTTGATTGACCGCTATCAAGCCTCCTTTGTACAGACGGTGACATTTAAGTGTAATTCTGGCACTTCATTGATCGCTACTAGCCTAGTTCAAAAACATTATGTGCCATCATGCTGTTTGCGTCAACTGTCTTCGCAACCCACATGAATGTGCTTAAGTACATGAAACACGGGGAGTCCACCCTGTGAGTCAGCGTAAATGTTTGCTGTACGGTCTTCTCCATACCTCCGCCCACCCCCCACTTGCACTGTCCATGGCCCAAGTCCAGCTAATGTTTCACCAGCTATATCCACTTGGTTCTCTCATTATTTTACTCCTTAGCGCCAGAAGTGGTGTAAAGAGCAAATTTCCGTCTTTTACTGAATTTATACTAGTGTTTTCCTGACCTCCTTGTACCTTGAAATCTAAGGTTGTTGGCCTCACTCACAAGTTGTTTTCATTACTCGCAAATACAAAGCATGCATCCATTCATTTTAGATCCTTCTACACTCAAGTCCTAACTCTGTAAAATAAAGTCATATTTCATCTCACCTAGCTTCCCTGTCCTGTATTTTGGTGACCGACAATATGCTGTCTTCTCCTCTACTTTCCTATTTGACTTGCTCATCATCGTCATCTTACCATGATAGCCTCAATGTCAGGATTTCGATGCTACTGAAGGATTTCAAAGGGTTTTCTTATTTGTAATTTGCCTCTTTCAATTGTTGCTCCAAATTTTTTCTTACAATATATGTTAAGAACTGTTAGTAGACAATATTTTATGAGATATTATTCTGAGTAATTTTAAAATCAATTGGTTGCTGAAGCAGTGTATTTAGGTGAAGAGGTATTAAAGAGGTGAAGAGGTATTAAAATTATACTCTTTTGAAAGTGAAATTTGGGAAAACCTTGTCTTAAAATTAAAATGTTTGCATCTTTTAGGTAACCTATATTGTCTTTTTATAAATGTATTTCAAGTTATTTTATTATCCTTAAAAATCACTAAATACCATGATTTTCATTTCATGTACACGTGTCTTATAATTTATAATACCTACTTAGGCAGTAATTGCTGAAAACCATCATAAATTCAATTTGTCTATTTATTTGTTCACAATATAAATACAGATTTCAAGTTGTTTGTATTATTTTTTACCTATAATTTCTATCCTTTTTAGATGGATGGGATTGCAAAACTATCTACAGACAACATGGCTGCTGAGATAACAAACAGACTGAAATCTCTAGAACTTGAAAATTCTCATTTAAAAAAGGGTAAGTATTAACTGCTGTTAATTTTGTTTGGGAAATGGCTTGTATAAGTGTAGACAGGCAGTTTTATTATCCCTATTACAAATCCAACATAACTGGTTTTACAAGGAATCCTAATGGGTCTTTCTAAATAGTAACAGAAAGTATTTTTTTTTTATTATTAATATCTTTAACATCAGGGTGATAACACATAAGATGACATTTCAGCTCTTTAAAGCTACTTTAAAAATAACATCGTAAAATATTGGTATTTTTCACTCAAAGTACGGTGTTACATTGATTATCAAAATATATTTAGCTGAGAGAGCTAAATATTTAAACATAGTAAATAAAGTGTAATCATTTTTTAATTTGTTAAGCTACGGTATTCTATTTTATGCCATTGACACCGATCAGTATTTGTTCTTCTAAAAACGGAGCTTTGGAAGCCCATGGAGCAGAGCCTTATGTCGATATCAAAATGGAAATTTACTTATAATCTAAAGTACAGTAGCTATCTTTGTGTGAAATTAGGGATAGAATCGGTCTAATAGATGGATAGACACCTAATTTTTCAGATTGTAAATATTTTGTGTGACCTGTTAGTAAACACTAATCATATAGCTCATTCAATTCAAATTGTCCTTTCAAACTATATGATTTACAGTATCGATGTTGGTCTATTACAAGAGAGAATGTTCTTTTAAATATGTTCATATTTTCAGATATTGTAAAGCTGACAGAGCTGGTGAAGCAGCTCAATGACAGAGTGTTTGCTGTTGAGAAGTCAGCAACTGGTAAGTCTGGTGGTTCTGCCCCCGTCAAGGCTCCTGCTCCTGCCAAGGCCCCCGCTAACGATGATGATGACGATGGCGTGGATCTGTTCGCCTCTGAATCTGAGGTAAGAAATTCGTCTCAGCTTGTGTTTCAAAGCTGCTTAGAGAGATTTAGAGTTGGATTTGTAAAACCTTAACAGCTAATGTCGTGGTAATGACAATGAATTGAAACTACAAACCATAGATTAAATACTTATTCATTGTACAAAAATGTTTTATAAATATGTTTCTTCTTCAATTTGAAATGATGTAGCGATGTAGGTTATCTTCAATGTACAACTGTAAAAGTAGGTTAATAATTTATTTTTATTTTATTAAACAGTAAGATTTGACCTAGAAATTTCATTTAAAGAGGATATTGTGATTGTCCTTCGTGATCTCATGCAATTAAGGGGATATCTTCTGCAATTGTGATAACATTTACAATAATTGCGAGTCCTGTTAAAAAGGTCCAAAATTTAATCCTGACACAAATTCAAATTTCCAGAGAAAATTCAAGAATTTTCTAGAGCATATTTAATTTTCATTTCTTGAATTTAGGATGAAGACGAGGAAGCAAAAAAGATCAAGGAGCAGCGACTCGCTGAATATGCAGCACGAAAGTCTAAGAGTAAGTTTTCCTCATTATTACACCTACAGAGGTTTTTTTAAAAAAAACTTATAACTTTGTAATATTATTTTAACAATGTTCATATAAGTGCTTTGCACTGTTAGAAATACAGTTGTTTTCTTGTTTTATTGCAAATAATAATACAAGTAGAATTTGTCAATTGAATTAAAAACTAGACTAACTTGGGCCTTTTCAAAGTTTGAAATCGTCAATATGCGTGATTCAATCTACTTGATATCACGGACGATCAGTTAATATAAAATATCAGAAATGACAAAAGTAAATGTGAACAAAAACCAAACCATATTCTTTATTTTTCATACATCAAAAAACACACTAAAACTATTATTTGTTTTTTTAACCAAAAACAATTTAAAACATCTGACTGTTTATTTATCTATATTAGAAAACAGTCTTTTGGCAAACAAATAAGAATATTATATTGAGGTGTTTTCTTTGTAAATGATTTATCATCGTATGTCAAGTTCACCATCACTATAAAATTTATAAGTAACAATACAACTTGTAAGTTATGTCTTGGTTCTAACCTAGCCTAAAATAACCTTATTATTGTAAACAGGATTTTTAGATAATTCAAACATTTCAAACTGAAAACCTTGTGGTAATGAATTAACGGAAAAGTTCCAAGTTTTCTTTGTTGAATCTAAACTTTTAACAACAAGATACTCATAATATTATATGCCCATTTAATTAATAGGTGTTAATTTTGATTTTGAGCCTAATCTTGCTGCCGAATCTTGTTGTTTTATTTTGCTTTGTGTGCCATATGGCCTTAATGTTTTAGTTTGTTTTAGTTGGCATAACAGAACATTACAAAATTGAAAGGATATTAGCTTACTGTACCATGATCAGCTGAAAATATTTTTGAACCATTATGTACCAGTAGGCCACTATCAATTGAAAGTAGCTTATTGGTAAATTTTATCGATCCTTAACACATTTTATGTTATTGGTCAAATTTACATGTAACATTATGTATTTCTAGAACCTGTTCTAATTGCCAAGTCCAATATCATCCTGGACGTGAAGCCGTGGGATGACGAGACCGACATGAAGAAGATGGAGGAGGAAGTGAGAAAGATCACGATGGATGGACTCATCTGGGGTGCTTGTGAGTATCGTAACAGCAACATGTTGTGGCAGTATGAAATCATGGTGGAAGGAAAAAACATAGGTGTGCTATTCCCACAAATTCTGACGTCACTCGGATTGCAAACAAAAGATCACCTGATTGTAACTGTCAAATTAGTAAGCATTTGTTTTGATTTGATTGTTATTGTTTTTATAATAATAAAAACAATAACAACCAAATCAAAACAAATACATATACTAATTTGACAGTTACAATCAGGTGATCTTTTGTTTGCAATCCGAGTGACGTCAGAATTTGTGGGAATAGCACACCTATGTTTTTTCCTTCCACCATGGTATGAAATACTAAAATACTAATTGTGAAAAATGACTGATGAAGTTATGATCGACGCTCATATTTGACTGGACTTGTGCTTAATATTTTATAGATTTGAAAATCAGCTGTATTTTAATTGTATAATTTTGACAGTTGATTTATGTTTACTTTTTGTAAGTTTTCTAGAATAAAAAACAATGATGAAATTGCTACATTTAAAAAAGAATAGATTTTTTCTGTAATTTAGTTCGAATGGTCTAATTTAAACAAAAGTTGAACCGTACAATGTTTAATTGTTTCTAAGTTTGATTTGTTTCAGTAATTAATCCTTTTACAGGAATTGAGAACAATTCTAATTTTATTATAATCAGAAGAATTGTAAAACATGGCGACCGTGACAGGACCAGAAATTATCGAAATAAATCGACTTAAGAAACAGAGAACGGTAATTCGGAGATCGTTTACAACTCTTTCGCAAAGTATCTTGGACAAATTGAATTCTAACAACCATGATTACCCTGAAATCGAAGCAAGTATGAAACTATTAGAGAAAAAGAACGACCAACTTAACGAACTCAATGATAAGCTACTGGAAAAACTTCTCGAATCAGACTGTCCGGAGGTGCAACTCACCGAAGAACTCAGCGGATCGGATGAGTATTTAAATAAGTTCTTTCTGATAAAAGCTAAATTTTACAGTTTGACTTTGAAATCTAATGAGGATGTAGCTTCAAATTGTAGTAAATCATGTTCAAGTAAACCGAATACCTCAAAAGCTAGAATAAAACTTCCTAAAATCGAGTTTGTTAACCCTCCAAAGGTCCATAGTTTAGGCCTTAATGTCCACCTATTTTTGGCCCCTTTGCAAGGTTTTATTAAAACGGATCTGAGAAGCTTAAAACAATGTTAATTCTAATGTTCTATATACCATTTTGTTTGGAAAATCATGGGCTTCAATATTATATATAAAACATAAGGAACATTTTTTCAAAAAAAAATTTTTAAGTAAAAAAAATATAATTTTGAAAATTTTCAAAAAAAAAATAAGTTCGCGCTCAATGAAATTGTATAAATTATAGGCCTATAAATATTTGAAAATAGCCACTTTGTTCTAAATTTAATGAGGATTACAAATATATAATCATGTAGCGAGGTAAGTTATCAAATAAATAAGTTATGAGCGAAAAACGGATTTCAGTACATAGCGTTTAGCTAAGAATGCATAGCCTAACCATAGCTAGGAATCTGGCTGATAATTTACATCAATATCACTACCTACTTCTTCAGGATCATCAACCAGCACTTCAAAACCACTTAAATCTTCTTATAATGCACCACGTATATCACTACTTTTGATTTTTAACACTAAAACAATGATAAACATAATAAAACACATCAGTCATCGGTCCGAGGTTAAGTAACCTGTTTACTAATATGCACGTCAGCTGTCTGCTAACAATTACGATCGGCTCAGAGAACAAACAGCGCTTAGAGACAGACCTTTAGAAAGCTTAGAATCTAATGAAAAGAACGATACCTAACTCGATCCAGTTCAATCCGATTCAGTCAGTCATAGAGCCTTCGCCGTAAACGATGTTTGTGCGTCTTAAACTAGACGCGTGACCCTACACAAAGTGTGTTGTGCGTCTATTTTTTGACGCGTGACCCTCGGAGGGTTAAATTTGATGGAGATATGAAAAATTGTCTACACTTTTGGAGCCAATTCCAAAAGATTCATTTAGACTCTGAACTTAAAGATGAAGATAAATTTCAATATCTTATTCAAGCTACTGAACCCAAATCTAGGGCTAGGGAAATAGTCACTAGTTTTCCCCCTATAGCTGACAATTACCCCAAAGTAATTGAATGTCTGAAGTCCAGGTTTGGGAGAGAAGACTTACAAACGGAAATCTATGTTAGGGAGCTTTCGAAAATAACATTTCAAAACTCTATTGAAAAGATTCCCATTTAAAATTTGTATGATAGGATTGAAACTCAACTTAGAGCTTTAGATACTTTGGGAGTAACTACTGAAAAGTGTGCAGCCTTACTGTACCCCTTAGTTGAGTCATGTCTCTCTGAGGAACGTCTTAGGGCATGGCAAAGATCACTTTGTAGTTCGAGGGATAAACCTATAGATCTTAAAACAAAGTTAGAATACCTTGTTCTCTTTCTAAAAGGTGAAGTTGAATCTGAAGAAAGAATAAGACTAGCTATGGATGGCTTTGAAATTTGTCAGTCGGGGGGAAAATCAGAAGAAAAGGGGATTTTGCTATTTATGTTTGAAACCAAAACATCTAGCCAAATATTGCAAAGCCAAATTGCAATGCAACATTTGCGGTGGAAGACATGTCTCTTTAATGTGTAGGCAGGGAGTTAAGCAAGATGACAGTGGCAATAAAGTCTCTGAAGCCCAAGTTGAAAATTCATTATCTGCTAATACCAGATCAGAGGTCTTATTGCAAACGCTAAGTGTATGCATCAAAAGCGACGATAAGGTTAAGTTCGTGCGAGCGCTAATTGACACAGGATCGCAGCGATCCCATATATCTCAGAATCTTGCAAAAGAAATGAAGTATAAAGCCATTCGAAAAGAGAGGCTACAACATTCACTGTTCGGTGGAGTTAGTAGTGATGTTGAAGAACACACTTGTTATAGAGTCAGACTTAGTAACCCAGAGACCAACTACGCTTGCAATTTTGAAGTTCTAGATAAAATAAAAATTTGCAATGCTTTACCAGTTGCAGGATTGGGGAATTGGATGAAGGAGTTACAGGAGTTAGGGGTAACAATTTCTGATACTCATTCAGGGCCTATTGATATTTTGATCGGTGCAGATGTCGCTGGAAAACTTTTAATGGATGAGCGAATAATTTTGAGTTCAGGTCTCGTTGCAGTAAGAACCTTGTTAGGATGGACTTTGTTAGGAAAGACTCCATCTACAGCAGTGGTATCTACAGACTCCCCTAATGTCATGACTACTCATACAATGTTGCTGAAGGACAAAACAATCTCACAGCTATGGGAATTAGATGTCATTGGAATTGAAGATCCGAATTCAAGGAAGAACAAGATTGAATAAGAAGTTGAAGCTACAGAGTTTTTCAACAAATCTGTTCAGATCAATGATGACGGACGTTATGATGTGCCTTTACTTTGGAGAGAAGGCCATCCACCCTTGCCGGCCAATGTCAACATAGCGGTCAAGAGACTTGAATCAACAGTGAAAAAACTCCAGGAAAAGAAAACATATGATGTTTATGATGCCACGTTCAAAGAATGGGAACAAGAAGGTATAATTGAAGAAGTCTCATACACCGCTGACTTTGGTAAGTTGGGACATTATTTGCCTCATCGGCCCGTCTACAAGGAAAACAGTACAACAAAGGTAAGACCTGTCTTTGATGCATTCGCTAAGGAGTATAATCAACCTTCATTGAATGACTGTCTCAGTAAGGGATCTAATTTGATTGAATTAATTCCTTCCATTCTGTTTCGCTTCAGATTAAAAGAAATAGGTGTCATTTCTGACATTAAGAAAGCTTTTTTGCAAATCAGTTTGTCTAAGTCTGATAGAGATTTCCTAAGATTTTTGTGGTATGATGATGATGGAAACCTCAAAATTTATAGACACAAAAGAGTAGTTTTTGGTGTGACCTGCAGTCCATTTTTACTGGCAGCTACCATTAACTATCATTTAAGTTTTGCTATAAGGGGAAATGGATATTCCAAGCCTTATGTCGAACAGCTCATGCATAGTTTCTATGTCGACAATTGTGTAACAAGTGTGAGCTCTGAAAGTGAACTGAATGATTTCATTTCCCAAGCAACTAGTTTATTTTTAGATGGGAAATTTGAACTTAGAGGGTGGGAGTTTACTGACAAAACTCTCTCACCTACTACTCAACCTGTTGGTGTATTAGGTATGCTGTGGGACAAGAGAACTGACGTGCTTAAACTTAATGTTGATTTTCTCAAATCAGTTGACTTGCAAGTAGTTACAAAGCTAAAATGCTTTCTATTACTCACAAAGTTTATGATGTTGTTGGGATTTCTTCCCCAGTAACACTGCTCCCTAAGATTCTATTGCAAAGGACTTGGTCCATGAAATTCAAATGGGATTAAGAGGTTTCAGATGACATAAGATGTGACTTTCTAAAATGGTTCAGAGATCTGGGATATTTAAGTGAGATTAACATCCCTCGTTTTTTCGCTGGGGAGGATGGTACTTTTAGTTTGCATATATTTTGTGACGCTAGTAAATTTGCATATGCTACTGTCACATTTCTAAGGACTGAGGCCAATGGATCAGTATGTCTGATTTAGAAACACATTTTTGGAGCGATTCAACCACAGTCATATCTTGGATTCAACGAGAAGACAATTGGGCTACTTTTGTTTGGAATAGATGTCAAGAAATAAGGTCATTATCTTGTAAAGACTCATGGAGGTATGTACCTGGAAACCTAAACCCCGCTGATGTAGCTAGTAGAGGATGCTCGGCTAAGGATCTAGTTGATTGTAAATGGTGGGAGGGCCCTCAGTGGCTAAGACAGCCTCCAGAAGAATGGCCAAAAGTTAAAATGATTTACAACGACGAAGAAATCCACAGTGAAAAGAAGAAAGGAATCGTATCAGTTTGTACGAATGCTGAAGAAACTAAGTCAGGCTGGTATTATAAATACTTCAGCAATTTTGAAAAGATCGTGCGTATGGTAGCATGGATAAATAGATTTTATAATAATTGCCGTAGAAGTGAAAAAGTAAATGGTTCCTTAACCCTGGAAGAAATAGAAAAAGCTGAAGCCAATGTTTGGAAACTAGTCCAGAAAGAGAGTTTTTGTGGGCTGAAAGATGCTAAACTTGCAACATTATGTACTTTTGAAGATAAAAATGGTTTGATTCGTGTAAAGTCGAAGCTTACTGACAGAAACGACCACGAAAACTTCAGGACACCAATAGTACTACCATCGAAACATCCTGTTGTGCAAATTTTAATACGCTCTAAGCATAACAAGGCTTGTCATGCAGGAGTTCAGTATTTATTAAGCATTTTGCGTGAAGACTATTGGATATTAAGTGGGCGAAAAACAGTAAAATCTGTAATATCGTCTTGTGTGAAGTGTCTAAGATACAAAGGGAAAAGTCTACAAACTGGGCCAATTGGTCTTCCAGAAGACAGAGTAAAAGATGCTGCAGTATTTCAAATTAGTGGTGTCGATTTTGCAGGACCAATATATTTGCGAGATGGTCAGAAGGCTTGGATATGTCTTTTTACCTGTGCTGTTTATCGCGCAGTTCATTTAGAACTAGTTTCAAGTTTGTCAACTAATGCATTTCTACAGGCTTTGAGAAGATTCATAGCTAGAAGAGGCAGACCCTCAATTGTATACAGCGACAATGCGACCAACTTTGTTGGCGCAAACAATGCCTTTACGCAAGTTGACTGGGATAAAATCCAGGAGTACAGTTCGGTCCAGCGAATTAAATTGAAATTCAATCCCCCTTCATCACCTTGGTGGGGTGGCTGGTGGGAGAGATTGATAGGAATGATGAAGCAACTTCTTCGGAAATGTTTGGGCAACTCAAGTTTAACTTATGAAGAATTCCAGAATCAGTTTTAAATGCACGTCCCCTCACATACATCTCTAACGAAGTGAATGACTTGATACCTTTGACTCCAGCAATGTTCTTGACCGACATTAAAGAAACTGGAACACCTGATGTGGACAAAATTAATCACGGAGAGTTGAACCGCAGGGTCCGGTACTGCCAAAAGTTAAAAGAAGATCTGAGAAAGAGATTTCGGAGCGAGTATTTGGGAGCACTAATGATGAAGTCGAAAAGGTCAACAAGGGACATACAAGCTGGAGAAGTTGTCATTGTGGAGACGGACGACAAAAGACATCTAAATTGGCCTTTGGCAGTCGTAGAAGAACTCATACCGGGTAGAGATGGTAAAATTTGTCTCGCAAAACTCAAGACAAATTCAGGAATAATTTTGCGGACTATCCAAAAAATTTACCCTCTTGAAATACAAAATTGTGAGAAAGAAGAGTTCCTGAAAAATGAAAAAATTAAGAAAAAAAACGAAGCAGGATAATAAAGTGATAGATAAGAAAACTGTGACTAGAAGTGGACGGATGGTTAAACAACCAAAAAGGTTTCTCCACTAAAAACCTTGTGTTGAGGAACAAGTTACCTTATGTTCCTCAAGGTGGGAGGATGTGAAAAATGACTGATGAAGTTATGATCGATGCTCATATTTGACTGGACTTGTGCTTAATATTTTATAGATTTGAAAATCAGCTGTATTTTAATTGTATAATTTTGACAGTTGATTTATGTTTACTTTTTGTAAGTTTTCTAGAATAAAAAACAATGATGAAATTGCTACATTTAAAAAAGAATAGATTTTTTCTGTAATTTAGTTCGAATGGTCTAATTTAAACAAAAGTTGAACCGTACAATGTTTAATTGTTTCTAAGTTTGATTTGTTTCAGTAATTAATCCTTTTACAGGAATTGAGAACAATTCTAATTTTATTATAACCAGAAGAATTGTAAAACTAATAATACTGTAGACTGATAATAAATTAGAAAGACAGCTGATTTGAAATTCTGTCGCAGCAACTAGAAACATGTGTGGAAATAGATTTCGTACTGAAACTGTTCTATTAGGCCCATCATACATTGCAGCCTTGTTTAGAACAATAAGTTTCTGTCTAGTTTGAACTTGTTAGGTTTAGTTTCAAAGCATTCAAGTTAAAAAAAGAGCTTGTCAAATGTGTATCCGCAACCTTAAGATTTAGGGTTGTAGCTTATTACATTTTATAAGTTGGATTTGAATTTTAACAGTAATATCATGCACGCTCTTTTCGTAAAAACCTATTGAGTTCTTAAATGTACAGTATTAATTTTATCTTAAGTTGTGCCAAAAAAGGAAAGTAGTCAATTTGAATGCACAATTTAAATACTTCTGAATAGGTTTTAATGAAATTGTAACCACAAATTGTTTACAGGACATAATTGCTTGAAACAAAATGTTTTGGAAAAATTCAGTCAGGGTCTTCATGGTTCCCATAATGTGTTGTAAAGAATATGAAACTGTATGCTTACAAATCATGAACAATGCAAATGAGATAAAAGAGAATTTGAAGTTACAATTAAAAGTAATAAAAAAACAATTGTTAGTCTTTTCTCAAAATAAATATAACTTCAACCAAAAATTTAAAAACACTGCCAAGTTTTGAATGAAGTTTTTGTCTTAATGTGACTTAGTAAACCCTAATAGATGCACTAAAGTATTATGTATGGTGAAGGAACAGCAAATATAAATGAAAGTAGTTAAGGACTGTTTAAAGTAGCTAAATATTTACTTAGTGTTTGTTTCAGCCAAGCTTGTTCCTCTGGCTTACGGTATCCAAAAACTACAAATATCCTGCGTTGTTGAGGATGACAAAGTTTCTGTAGATGACCTTCAAGAACAAATAGAGGCTATAGAAGACTATGTAAGTATTCGTTAAAATACTATTGTTTTATCTATTAAGATAATTAGGGGTCTCCAGGCCAGAACTGTTTACTTCAGGGTACATTTAAAATTTGGCCTTTGTGTCTCGGTTAAAAACCGGGTTGCTTTGGAAAAAGTCAAATCGTCAACTTCAATCGTAGTCACAGCAAAATTTTTAACCAACATGACAAAATCTTGAAAACCCTCCGCAGTTAGGCAAAATCAAGGACATCTTAAAACTAGGTAGGTCATTGTGAAATGGTTAATTACCCATCATACATTTTTGTGAAAATATTAGATCAAGATCGGTACAAAAATCAAAAGCTCACACATCCCTAACATTAACGACTCTCATTTCCGGCCGGAACCGATCCCTCAGCCAATTATTGGCCCAACCTGACCTGAAAATATCAGGGTCCCACAGACCCCTGAAGAGAATATTCCTGCTCACTAGCATAAGTAAAAACAATTATCCTGTTCAACTTGGGCTTGTTGGGTTTAAGTAAATACATTTTTTTTAATACTGCATGAAATAACTTAAATAAGCTTACACACGCCTTTTTCTCTTTTTCAGGTTCAAAGTATCGACATCGCTGCGTTTAACAAGGTTTAATGAAATTTGTATTTTAATTAAATTTGCAATCTTCAATGTAATCCACCTAGTTACTTCACCTAGCCTCAGACTGCTGGTCAATGTTAAATGTTAATGTTTTCAACACAGTAAAAACCTATCCTCTGCAATGTGTCTAATATTTTTTTTGTGCAATGCAACTTGTAACATTTGCAATAACAATCAATAAATCGGTATGTGAATTATTACTTGTATTGATTTTTTTATTTTAAGTACCTTTCCACATTCACTATCACCATGCCGAAAATGAGTGACACCTGTTATGGAACAAGTAAGAACTCTCAATTAGTCAAGAAGAGTACACACAGGGGCGTTGCCCAAGGGGGTGGGGTAGGGGGGAGCCCCCCCCATCATATTTAGAAAGTGTAAAAGATAGGAAATGTTTGGGCATTTGAAACTATGAGTTTGGATTTTGCTAAGTTTTAAACTGCTGTTTCAGAAACCATAATTTCTAGTTATTTGTGTATGTCAGCTATAACGAGGCTTTAAAGGTAAAATACCATTCTTACCGTTAAAACTTAATAATAATTAGTATGGAAATGTGAGGGATATTTTTTTGTGTATGAAACTTCTGAGTACACAATATTGGTTTATACACTTAACTCACTCTGATAAGTGTGATGATGTGAAATAGCTAAGCCTTTAGTACAAAAATATAGCACAGTACTAATGTATAGTACTACGCATAGAAACTTGAAAACTTGACACACAGGTTCTTCTGTGGGTCAAGGTTCAGCGGTACTGATGTCATATATTTCAACCTATAGTATTACAATGTTAACTTTTTAACCATAATCATTATTTTTATTGCCAAAATTTAACAGTGAGGAATATGAAATGCAATGAGAGGCCAAATATTTTCTATTCAAGTTGTGTTTCTGAAGATGCCTATTCTTCTAAATAAAGACATTTTTCATTTCATTTCATTATCTTACTAATATTATAAATGTGAAAGTTTGTGTGTTTGTTTGTTTGTTTGTTTGTTTGTTTGTTTGAAGGTCAATCATGCTTTAACTACTGGACGGATTGAGCTGAAATTTGGCATGATGATAGCTCATATTCCCGATTAACATATAGGCATATTCTTATCTCAAAAATCCTTTCGGGCTCCGCCCCAGTGGCTCTGTAGTTTCCCATGTTAACCGTATGAGTATTCATATTTAAAGGGAATTAAATAATTTAGTCAGCTGTTTCAACTAAAAAAGTTGGTTCTATGATATGCAAAAGTATTAAAAAGTTTTAAGATTTACCAACAGGGTGCAGCACTATCATTTTTTTGCATTTATGAAAACACCCAATTTGAACTAAGCAGCAACAAAAAACTGTAATAGGCTATTATGAGATCTGTCAAAGTAGGATTGTTTACAGCTATGTTTATGTTTATAATTGCATGAAAAATTTGTGATATTTTGCGAATTATAAATAGTTTATTTTTCTATATTGTTTAGGTGAAGTGGTAGAACATTATGACTATAATAGATACTGTTAGAGGTGGGGCGAAAACAACGCAACGGTTGTTTGACAACGGTTGTGGCGCGGCAGACGTTGCACAACTAAACGGTTGTGTAGAGCTGGCAGTTGTCGACAACGTTTTCAGGGAGTTGTCGTTGTCGTTGTCCACAGGTGCGCGACTGCTAAACGCAACGCTCTACAACAACTGTTTGGTTCGGTTGTGGTTGTGGGCTGGCCAGTGGCGGGTGTTATCCAACTAAACGGTTGTGTAAAACAGGCTGAGGCAGTAGTTGTATTCAATCGTTTCGCGGCGAAGTCGTTGTCGATGTTTGTATAAGACTGAGGTTACCTGAAAAACTGATTTCTTTCTTATCGTTACCATATAATAAGATGCAATTCTATTCTAAGTTTGTCGTTTATTCAAGATCAGTTTAGATTTACTGCAAAAATCGTCTGCTAGCTTAAATTAGTAACAGTGCTTTTAATCACTCTTAGATTTGTCTTATTTTCAGTAATTTTAATGTGTCTTACAAGTTAAAAAGTGTTTTAGAATGTTTAAAACAGTATAGTTAATATTTCAAACATCTAATTTCTTAACTAAAATAAATTTTAAACTACATTTCATTCTTGAAACTTCTACTTACATAGCATGGAATAGGCCTACTGGAATAACAGGAGGTAACTTGAAGATTTTGTATGAAGATATTTATGATTTTTAATTGAAACAGATAAAGTTGGACATTTGCTGTGATTATATATTGAAACAAACATATTGGATGGCTATTTTATTTTGATAACTTTGTTAACAATAATTTTACTGTGAGAGATAATGAGGAATGCTAACGTTTGATAGAGCAGGAGTAAGCACGAATTGATACACTGACAAGCTTACTGACAGACAACCACAGCCCACTTGTTTGTTATCAGCTGTTCACTTCAATCAGCTGCTAGCTGACATCAGCTTACTGATTTGTTTACTTTTGGTTTTGCATCTACCTCACACTGCTTTATGTTAAGAACAATTTATATAGATATTGTTTTTATTATTGTATTTTTATTATCACTTTATCTACTATTATAATAAATCGGACTTGAATTTATTAGTGGTGAACTGAGTAGCTGCTATTTTATAATGAATAGATTGTAGATTGAATAGTTTGAATTAAATAATCTTAAATAAATGCTTTTAGTCTGCAACTATGGAAAATACAAATAATAAGAAAACAGGGGCTCCAAAAGGATGGAGAAAGGAATATTCAGTAAGGAAAAAGGGTCAAACAAAAGGAAAAATAGATGTTAATTTTATTTCTCCTGGGGGAAAAGTTATTCAAACAAAAAAACAGCTAATAGGCTATATAGCTGCTAAAAAGCTTAAAGTTAACATTGACGATTTTGACTTTTCCATAAATTCAAAATCACATAAAAATAAAAAAAGTTGCATACAAGAGGAGTCTTCTGATGAAACTAACTCAATTTCAAGTATGGGAAGTTCTCAAAATATTCCAGAAAACTCCACTCTTGAAATCATCCAGTTCTCGCCAGTTATTCCTCAGACCACTCCAAAAGTTTCTGACACTGACAAAACACCTTTGACCAGCCATCCCCCTTTAAACAATAATAATATACCCTATGATGCACAAAACAATCAAAGTCAGTTAAAACCACCTATTAGCCAAGTTAGTGCAGAAGAGGATGTGTGTAAATCTCTGCTTGAATCCAAATGGGTGACTGATGACGTAGTACAAAGTTACTTTGATATGTTGAATAACAAAATGAACTTAAAAGATGTTCACTTCCTGAATCCTGTAGTTACAATTGCAGTAAAAACCTTGGTCGAGTACGAACATATTTTACAGTCACTAGATCTTGTGAATAAAAAAATCATATTTATTCCTCTAAATGACTCCCCAGCTATTCAAAGGATCGGTGGATCTGGCTCACACTGGAGCCTGTTGGTATACAATAGGTGCCAAAAATGTTTCTACCACTTCGACTCAATAAATAGCAAAAACACGGCTCACGCAAAAACCCTTTCCCGCAAATTCACAAAATTTTTCAATCTTGATGAGGACATTCCCATAATCAATGTGAATGTTACTCAACAAAATAAAGGGTTGGACACAGGATACAATGGTGACTGTGGGATCCACATGCTTTTGACCACAGATGTTTTATCTAAGAATCTTGTAGAGACAAACTGCAACACTTCATTCAGTATTGATTTTTTTCAAAATATAATACCTCATGTTGCACCTGAGGATATTATAACAAAAAGAGCCCAACTAGCGCTACTTTTACACAAAAACCAACACATACATTTTGACAAAAGCCTGGTTTGCGGCTTGATGTTTAGCAAAAAGAATGAAACAAATTGCAAACTGTTGACTGAAAAATGTAAAATGTTGGAAAAAGTAAATACAGATCTTTTAGCTAAGCTTGAAAGAAATAACTGCCAAACCAACAACTCTTTTAATAAACAATCAAAGAACATACAAAAGCCTACAAATCAACATTCCCCAAAAAGAAGATCAGTTCTAAGCCCAAATCATTCAAATAAATTTGTTTTACCTACATCTAACAAATTCAAACCGCTTGAAGAGGACATACAACAAGCCACATCTCCAGAAGGATTTGGAAATGGTCCAATCCCTACTAAACAACATTCTCCAACTCTGACAGTTCTAAGTGACAGTCATGGTAGACACTTGGATCATCTCATAAAGAAAAAAAACTCGTCTCTTCAAGTTTGCAGTAACGTAATGCCAGGTGCACATTTGGATGTAGTAATGAGTAAATCTAAAACAATAGCAAAAAATAAATCTGATTATGTGGTACTCATTGCTGGAGCGAATGATACTTACAATGGACAGAAACAAGTAGTTCTCAATCATTTGAAACCCGCAATTTTATCCCTAAAACCTTGCAATGTCTTGATCGGCAGTATACCATTCAGACGCGACTTGGCTCTCAATCACCAAATTAATGAAGACATTATGGAAGTTAACCTTTACATTCATGAACTTTCACAGACTTTACCTGGTGTTAAATTCTTGGATCTTACTGGTTTGCCTGCCCGCTGTTATGAACCATCTGGTATTCATCTGAACTTTCTTGGAAAACAGTTTTTGAGCCAAAAAATCAACATACTTGTGTCTACACCATCTCAGGGCATTACAAAACATCAGTATGCTATACCTCACAACGATAGTATCACGATCTTGAATCAAAACATGGATGAGGAAATCAAGAAATACAAAAGTGACAAACATGTTGCATTTGCACACTGTATATCTGCAGATGTAAACAGTCATAGAAATATGTCGGCAGGAGTTGCCGTTGTTTTTCGGAAGCAATTCAAAAGACCTTCTCCATCAGATTTTCTCAGCCACCACCTTACATGTCAAATGCCTGCTGATTCTGCTGTTGTTTATGGTCTAGTGACTAAGGCTCAGTACAATCTAAAGCCAACGGATGAAGATTACCTTACAGCATTCACGCAGATGGAGGAAGATTTCAAGAAAAAAAAACTGAAAGAATTAATATGCTCCCCCATGGGCTGTGTTCGTGACAACATCAAGCTAGAACTGTTTGCCAAGAGAATTGTCAAATTCCAGAGGAACACAAATGCTCAGGTAAAGATAGTTACATACGAGCAGCCTTCGGCCAAAAGGGTTCTATTTCAAGGGTATCCTCATTTGGAATTCATCAAACGCTTACAACAGCTCATCTCTACTGA